CATGCCCGTCAACTACGGTCGTGAGACCTTAAGATCTCCCATCAGCGCGCAGAGACAAAAAACGCTTCCCACCGGGCTCAACGCCAGCGACCTCATCTAGGCCATGCCAGCCTACCAAACACCCCAACCACACCACCACAACTTAATATTCACTTACCCCCCTTGATGTTTCGATTCAATTCGTTGCATGGCGACTGGCGTTTTTCGATGAACCTTGATACCATTACTTTTCGACGACAGAGGAACACGACCATTCGCGGCAGTGCAGTATCGTCTCCGATGCTACGAAAGCCGACAGCTAAAATATCCCGATTAGAAAGCGCCGTTTTGTACACTTCAAGTCTATCCTTGATGAATACTTTTGTCTCGAAGGCAGAGCGATTTTACTAGTTATTTTCCTTCTTTCTTTCTTCTCTACAACCTATTTTGTGTTTGCTGCATTTCTTCCTTCTCAAATGATGACTGATGATGGCTGGATCTTGGACTGGGCAAAGCCGCGAGGCAAAGGACAAACATGATACCGTGAGCGGCGATGTACGTGATAGGACGGACACACAGGCCGGGGGAGGGAGAAATCTGGGGGATACGAGAAAATGTATGTTGAAAAAAAGGTGAGGGGCTTGAGACAGGTCGACGCCGGCCGTCTCGCCTCGTTTTCGAGATTGGAAAAGATGGAGGGGAGAGGACCGAAAAGTGCTGGAAACGTTCGTCTTACAATGTTGCCCCACGGCATCTTTGTTCATCTAGTTGGAGCAGGGGAGACATCTATCCGCCTGCGTTTCTTTACATCTTGAATTTTTCTGCTTTTACTTCTTGCTTCCCTCACGTCGTGGGAGTGTTGACTCTTTCCTTTGGTGAGGATGACAGTGTATGTAGTTAGTTGCTCGATTCAGGATGGCTACGTACAGGCTGAATATTGAGAAGGATGCTGTTTAACATCCAGTCCGCACTTATATACGAAATTTGAATGAGACCGCCTGCTGTATTATTTCGACTTCATTTCCCGAAAGCTTCTTGGTCGTCTGACGTTGTGGCCGTCTGCACCAGCTCCATCTCTCCAAGTGCAACCTCAAGCTTACCTCGATGCACAAAACCGCATACGCAGAGAGAGGTATGGTCTCATTTAAACGAAGTTCGTCTGATTTGATTGACCCAGACCCTGGAGCTATGCGCAAAAATAAAACAAAAGCTTGATGTTGGGACGAATCGAACCATGTGTGGGGGACACTGTGTACATCCACCCACTGAAGGCATCGCGAACTTCAGCAATCCGCGCTGTGATGCACCTTGCACTACCACCACGCAATTAATCGTCCGTCCACACACATAGGAAGCAACCGACAAACATGAAATATTGCAATTGCGTCAATTCATCGTATCGCATATTATTTGTGCAGGCGGCATGCACGCATCAGCGGTATGCATCATCATTAAAATCAATCACCAAAAAACCAAAAAAGAAACGGAGTTGACATCTCCATCTTCAGCCACTACCCCAAGCCCCTAGCGATCGTAATCCAGCACGCCATGCGACGGTGAAAATGCCTCTGCAGAGTGAAACCTCCCTCAAGTGTCATCTTCATTGCTTAGGGCCACCGCAGCATCGCAGGTTACCCGTGCGAGTGAGTAGCCACCGCAGCATTCGCACTGGGCGCCACAAGGGGGTTCCAATGGATATGGGGTAGCGGGAGAAGAATACTGAAAGCCTTCAACCAACTTGACCATTACAGCCGGTAACTTCCGCCGACTAACTGAACCATATACCCTCCAGCCCTTGTGGGACGTGCGCTGGTGGCTGCTGGGTGGTGGGGATTACGTCAGCTGCGCCTTGGTGCTGGTGCTAATGGCAGGCGCGACAGGGGATGACGGTAGCTGATCGCCAGCAGAGCTTCGAGCTTCGACATCCAAAGTTGCAATTGCGCATCCGTTCGATGTCGAGGTAATCCTCAGAGAAGATCTCGGCTTCTCACAGCTGCCGCAACACCAATGGCACGATAATCCCGACCTTGCATCCTCCGCGACACCCGGCGCATCGCCCAAGATGCTCACGACCTCCCCGCGCCTCCACGTCCGGCGCCCCTCGCCCACGACGGCCGAGTTCACAGTAACCACCCGCCCGCCGCCGACTCTCGCCGTCAAGGCCCTCTCCCTCGTCCTGCTCATCCTGCGCATCCTCGTCTTCTTCTCCTCGATCCTCCTCCTCCGCGCCGCCTGGGTCCAGTCCCCCAACGCAGCCTCCTTCCTCACGCCACTGCGAAGCTCGCGAATCCACCGAGACGAGTACACGGAAGACGGCTTCTTCTCGAGCGAAACGCTCACGCAGTTTCTCCGGCTCGTCGACGACTCCGTCCCCGGCCGTCTGGCGCAGCGCCTCGTCTCCGCCAATACGGTGCCCCTCCCCGTCCTGGTCGCGGGCTGCGTGGTGGCGGCGTACGCGACGCTCCTGAGGACGCACAAGACCGAGAGCCTGCTTGTCCTGCGCGGGCTGGGCATCCAGACGAGCTCGTCTAGCGGGAGCTACCTCTACGCCGCGGCGACGCGCTTCATACCCACGGAGAAGATCCAGGATGTCCTCGTCAACGAGGCGTTCAAGGGCTTCGAGGTGCGGTACTACCTGATTGTCATCGTCGAAGGGGAGGAGGACCTCGTCGTTGTGTTTCCCCAGATCCTGCCTCGGAAGAAGATTGTCGAGACGGTGTGGAGAGGGGTGAGGGGATGTCTGTGGGAAGCAGAGGGCGGCGGTAGTTATGGCGGCGGCAATCGCAAGATAGACGAGAGATGGCAGAGCTGAGCAGGGGCTCTGGTAATGAAATCATGAACTTTTCCCTCTTTTTTATAATTATTTATACTTCAGAAGGATGCGGCATCCTATTCATCCGCTTCAGCCGCAGCGGCAGCCTTCTTCGCGACCTTGGCATCCTTAATAATCTTCCTCCAGTTCTTCGACTCCTTCATCTCTTCAGAGTTCTTGAACCCCTTCCTCTGCGCGAACCGGTCGTTGATCTCGGCCGGCGTCGGCGTCAACTGCTTCTTCATAATCGGTACATACTCCCCGGCCAACTTGCCCAACGGCCCGCCACCAAACACCCTCTTTCCCTTCGCCTGGCTCTCCGTCCCCTGTACCTGCCCCGACACCAGGTCAAGCAGCCTGTTGGCCAGCAGCTCGTCCATCTTCTTCGTCCGGTAGTAAGTCCACAGGTTCTCAACAATGTCCGCCTCGCCGTATACCCACTTCAGTGCGTTCTCGCCCTCCTGCGTCCGACTCTCCCTGTCACCCGGGAACACGCAATTCCACAGGACCAGCGGCGTGTCGTTGGCGAGGTCGTAGTTGGGCTTCCGCGGCGTCTTCTCGACGTCCAGCAGCTCCGCCACGAGCTCAGGCTTCTCTAGCCTCTGCCCGACGAGGAACAGGATCGAGACCATGTGCCGGATCTGGTGCCACAGGAACGCCGTCCCGCGGATGTTGAACGAGTACACCTTGGGCAGCTTGCTCCCGTCCGCGGAGCTCAGGCCGAGGTACGGCAGCGCCGAGCCCACGTCCTTGACCTCCTCGACGCCCGCCTCGAACATGCGCCGCTCAAAGTTGGTGATCTGCTTGCCGCCGTCCACCTTGCAGAAGTTGCGGAAGTCGTGGTCGCCGACGAAGAGCTGCGCCGCCGCGTCCATGGCTTCGATGTCGAGGTAGCCTTCCTTCAGGCCGTCTGCGGAGACGCCTGTTGTCGGCGCGAAGGCGGGCTGGGTGAAGAAGTAGCGGTACTGTCTCTCCTCGCAGGAGAACCGCGCCGAGAAGCCTGGCGGGGGCGAGGGGCACCACGCAAGTATGCGGATGTCGTCGGGCAGAAGGCGGTTGAGGGTCTTGATGTAGTCAATCTCCTTTTCATCCGACCACTCCACCTCGGGCTTCTTCTTGGTATCCTCTTCGGTTTCTGTCTTTTCGGCGGTGCCCTCCATTGGCGTATCCGCATCCCCTTCCGTCGGAGCAGGCTCCGGTTTGGGGAGCGGCTTGCTACTCCTGACCCTCAACCCAATTACCTGCCCAAATGCACTCACACCACGATCCGTACGGCCGCATTTTGAGTACTCGCAGCAGTCAAAGTTGACCACGGCCGGGTCCTCGGGGAAAATAAGACACGCCTTTGTGAGTGCGTTCCACAACTCGCCCTCGATGGTTGGCAGAGCCGCCGAGTCGGCGTACTCAAAACCACCATACCGCTTCCCCAGGTACGCCAGCTTCAACGCGATGAAGCGCGTGGAATACCGCGAGGGATCGATCCCCTTCTTCGTCTTGCGCTTCTTTGCCGGCGGGGGTGCAGCTGCCCCGTCAACGGCCTTGGAGGCTGCAGCCTTCTGCTTGTCGAGTTCATGCTCGAGGTGTCTTATGCGGGAGATGAGACGCTCCTTTTCCCATGAGTCGTACTTTCCAGGCACCTCGGCCATCTTTGCGGCCTGTGAGGTGCTCAAGTATCGTGTGGGGGTGTGAGCGATGAGACGGGGACTGAGATGGTGGTGGTGGCGTTGGCGTTGATGGGCGTGGGCGGGTAAAATCTTTCGGCAATCGTGTAATAGTCTGTCCAGGCGTCTCAATAATAGCAGACTCTGGCTTGGCGGTCGATGCAGAGTTGAGCCCCAAAACAAACCGTGTAAGGGACTCATAAGCCTGCTGCTCTTCTTCATATGACTCCGACGTTAAATTTTGGAGGGGTTCAGGCTGGCTACATGCGGGTACATTTTGGGCTGCGGGCTGTCACTGGAGGGGCATTTAACATGGGCATTTTCGAAGAGCAAAAAATTCGCCCATTAAAACAAAGTGTGGCTGATGTTCAGTGGCTGGTTTCCACTTTTATTGGAGGTCTGGACCGGTGTGACGGGACCGGGGGCCGTTTAGCGGGCAGTGCGTCGAACTGTGTCTGGACCGGTCGGCAGCTGAGCCAATCTGTTCCAGACATCCCGTTATCAGGACGACATCCGAGTCAATTCCGAACCCGCGGACAACCGCAGCCATGGACGGAGATGCCATCAAGATATTGCTAGTTGGAGACGAGAAATGTGGAAAGACGTATTTTCTATCGTGCGTATCCCTCCGGTGAAGCTCAGTCTCCACATAGGATGTCATCGCTAATGTGAACGCCGTGGATAGGAGACTGAGTGCTGGAGAAGGGACTGGCCCCATCAGGCTACTCAGGGATATCGACCAACCATTCATATTCGAGATTAAGCTTGGTAGTACACCACATCGGTTGGAATTCTATGATACAAATAGCCCTGAGAACTGGAAGCTTCTTGAGCCGGACCTGGTCATCATGTGCTACGACATAAGCCAGCGGCTCAGTCTCATCAACATACAAAGACTAGTAAGTTATCTTTTCTTGTTCCTTGACCCCTTTACAACTTCACAACCTGACGTCTGGGGCAGTGGTTCAAAGAGGTCAAACTGTCCTTCCGCAGACCTGACCGCTTGCCTATCCTCATCCTCGGTCTGAAGCGGGACCTGAGATCCGAAACCGATCCCAACGGCATCATCTATCCTCAAGAAGCCTACCAGATGGCTCAGTCCTTGAGAGTAGATAGGTACATGGAGTGCTCTGCCATGACCGGGGAGCTCATCAAGTTAGCGTTCGAAGACATCTGCACCACGGCAGTCAAAACACGCAGTGAGGCGGGCGGACAGAGTGAAGGCGGCTGTGCCATCATGTGAAGGCTTTCAATCTTCTGTCGGAGGACTCGGCACAGGAGACGGCGACCTGACGTAGTCAGGGTCCGTATTGGGCTCAACAGAGCGATTTGGGTTGGTCTCCTAGGCCGTGCCGTTTGCTTGCTCGCCGCCCTCCTCCTCCTCGGCCTCCTGGGGAAACGATCCGAGAACCTCAGCGATAATGTTGACGATTTCTTCCTGCTGGGCTTCGTCGAAGCGCTCCGTCATCTCTTCGATGACGGTATTCAACGCAGCGACGGAGGCGGGACGGAGGTTGAAAATCATTACGACCTCACCCTTGGCGAGGTCATAGGGCTGGAGCCTCTCCAACAGCTGGGAGATGCATTCCGGGTGGTAGGTGATGGGGTCCTGGCAGAGCGGATTGGGTGGTGTACGCAGGTACTGCAGGAGCTGAGCGGATGAGTCAGTCATGGGCGTACGTACAAGAAATAGATACCCAATTTTATTCATTTTTTTCTTCAGTGACATTTTCTGAAGAAAAATTCAAAAATTGGTCATTGGGCAACGCACTTCTTTGGCCAGGGTCTCGAGATTGCCAGGGCCACGACGCTCTCCTCGCTTCTTTTGGCCGAGCTTCTTCTCCGTAAGGTGCTTGTAGACCTCGTAGTTGGTGAGGACCGCCGTCTGAGCCTCAAGGATCTTCATCGTGACGGTGTACTTGGCGTAGGAGTCGGGGTTGAGGTCTCGGGAAGAGCTCTCCGTGGGAACAGAGGAGGTGGTTGGCTGGGGAGGACCAGAACTAGCTACCGGCAACGGCGGTCGACGAGAGGTGCGAATGCAAGTCGCGTTTCGGAGTTGTGAAAAATGTCGTGTCGGTGTGGAAGGTGAACAAGGCTAGTCCAACGTCCCTGTCGCTCGAAATGGAACCTGGTAAGCGCACCTGAGAGGCCGGTTGGTGACAGGTCGAGTCACACAACGTTGAACACCCAGGCTGGCCCTCTAGATGACGGTTCTTGGCCGAGTTCTGTCTGCAAGCTAGGAAACCAACGGAACCGGAGACTGGCAGTAAGCTCGGTTCAACGTCCAAGGCAGCTGTGAAACCAAACCAAACAAAAGACCTGCTTGGTCGGTCTGCCTCACGCAACAGAGAGAAAGTTTAGGATCCGTACAGCACCGCACAGTAGGAACGAGACGGCACGGTACACATGCAGTGCGGGTTGCCGTGAATTTTTTTTTGCTACTGCCCCGCGGTCGCTGGTAAGGTCGGTCGGTAGTCACAATTTGCAGCGAGCTGCATGAGACACCGCGCAATGGACGAGCAGACAGAGAAGAAAAAAAGGCTGCATTACCTTCAGCTGCCCAATCACGCTGCCCAGTCCCCCACTCTCGCCATGTGCTAATGTCGCTATGTACGTACCGATTAGGAATTGCGCAATGAGCGCAGGGAACAGCGTTGGCGGCTTTCAGTGGCCGCCGGTGGTGAGTCTAAGGCAGTTCTGCACCTCTCGTTTTACTCATTCCCTCCATTCTGTGTCTGAGATTGGTCTACAGAAATAACGAGAGGTATTTACTTGCTGTCATACCTGCATCACCGGAATGTGCAATCACGAGGCAACGAAGAGCCTGGGCTGCAGACTTCAGACCATTACAGTCAGAATTGTCTAAGCAGAGACCTACCTAGTTACAGGCGCATCCCATCTCGGCATCCCACGGTCGTCCCATGTTCACGATCACAGCGTTCCATTGTGCTGTCCGGGTGGTTGTGGTACCTGTACGGGCGTCTGTACGGAGCTCTTTTCCGGCACTGTCATGCTGCCGCGGCTGGCCGCTGTCAATGCGGTGGCTCCAGGTACCACAGCGGCCGTTCGGCGCCGCCCCCAAAGAGGCTCAGGGCCTTGCAACCACTAGAAACACAGTGCATGGCCAGGGCGCCACTGGCGCAAAATCTCTGCCAGAGATCGGAGTCATGAAGAGCACCAACCTGCCCGGACTAACCTAAACGAGCAGATTCTGCACCTGGCTACCCTGTGTGTCCTTCGCTTCCCAGCACTGAAGCACCCGTTTCCACCCCACCACGCAGCGCATTCACACCCACCTTCCCCAAGCCCACATGGTTGGCGACCGCACCCGACCCCGACCCCGATACCTGCAATCCACGTCCCAAACAAACTTATCCACTCAGAGATTTTCCTTTACAACTTCTCGACAACCCCAGCTTCAAAGGTATCCCCGCCGCTACCAGCTTTTCTTTCCTCGTCTTCCCCCCCTTCCTCCAAATCTCTTTCTCGACAGCTTGTTCGTCATGCTGCTGTAGTGATCGCACCTTCGAGTGTCTGCCCTCTCAAGCCTTTGGCATCACCTTTCTGGACAACCTTTTCTGCGCCTACCCTCGGCTTCGGCACATTGCAAGTACCTGTGACGTCGCCTCGCACCCCACTAGCAGATATTTTTGACGCCTCAAGCAAACCCGAGACCGGCACTGCTCCTTCGCGATTCTCCATCCCGCACACGACATCCCTCCACCACCAATATCCTCACCTCCAAACCGAAACCCCGCCTGCAAAGCTCTTAACTGTAGCTAGGCACATACAGCTCCTATTCTTCCGCCCTACTCGAACCTGATAGCTGCTACATTTCGGCTCGTACTCCGCCGGTTTCGCCCGACCGCATTTTCTACCTTCTGTTTATCGATACCCCATCTTCAAAGCCCCGACACCAGCGATACAATGGTCCGCAACATCATTATCCTTGGTGGAAACACCCACCCCGAGCTGATTGACAGCGTCTGCAACAACCTGGGTCTTAACCCCTGCGAGCGCGTCCTCACCAAGTTCTCTGTCGGCGAGTCTCGCTGTGAGATCAAGGACTCGGTGCGCGGCAAGGATGTCTTTATTATCCAGACCGCCTCTGGCTCTGTCAACGACGGCTTCATGGATCTTTGCATCATGATCTCTGCCTGCAAGACTGGCTCTGCAAAGAGAGTCACTGCTGTCATGCCTTTGTTCCCCTACTCAAGACAGCCCGACGTCCCCTACAAGAAGGCCGGCGCGCCTCTCTCTAAGTCCGCCTCAGAACCTTCCAAGAACGGCTACACCTTCGAGAGTGTTCCAGCGACCCCCGCTCCTGGCGTTCCGCGCACCGCTGGCCTCACCAATGGCATCGACGGCGTTGCTTCCAAGCTGGCCAAGAGCAAGCTGAACGAGGAGAGAAGCAACGGCGCCAATGGCGGCGACTACTTTAAAAACGGCAACGGCGATTCCAAGGTCAATGGCCACGGCCGCAATCACGACTCGATCTCGTCGCAGGTCCGCTACACCACCCACGACTACGAGAACCAGAGCCAGGTCAACGGATTCCAGTCGAAGCCGGGATACAAGCAATGGGTTGCCCAAGCTGGCACTCTGGTCGCGGACTTGCTGGCTTGCGCTGGTGCGGACCATGTGGTATGTAATCCCCAAAATATCCACGGGCGCAACCCACGAAGGATGCGCCCAAAACTTGTTGGCTCTAAAGCACTTCACTAACAAACATTAGATCACGTAAGTTCTTTCTTCTGCTGTGTCGCGCCGTTTTTGCGCGCCAGCTCTTGCCGATGCCAATAAGAACCCTCTGTGGAGCCTTTACACCTGCCCTTCGTTGCTTCTTTTCGAAGCAATTGCTAATGGTTGCAGGATGGATCTCCATGATCCTCAGTACCAGGGCTTCTTCGACGTCCCAGTGGATAACCTGTACGGCAAGCCCCTCCTCAAGAGGTACATCCAGCAGAACATCCCCAACTTCAAGGACGCCGTTGTCATCTCTCCTGATGCTGGTGGAGCCAAGCGTGCTACTGCCATTGCTGATGAGCTGGACATGGCGTTTGCCCTGATTCACAAGGTAGGTGACCTGTTTCTTTAGACGGAAGTGCGGGAACTCATAACTTGCCACAGGAGCGTCGCCCGACCAAGTACAGCGAGCAGCGCAATGCCAGTATGATGCTGGTTGGTGATGTCAAGGACAAGGTGTGCATCCTCGTTGATGATCTTGTTGATACCGGCAACACGATCACGAGGGCTGCCAAGCTCCTCAAGAAGAACGGCGCTACTCAGATCTACGCCCTCTTGACCCACGGCATCCTCAGCGGTGACGCCATCCCCCGCATCAACGCTTCGGCCATCGACAAGATCATCGTGACCAACACCGTTCCCCAGGGCGAGCACATGAAGGTGTGCCCTAAGCTTGGCTTCCTGGATGGTGAGTTTTCCCAGCTCTTCAAGTGTCTCCCAGCTTTTGACTAAACTACCAGTTTCTCCCGTTTTCGCGGAGGCTATTCGTCGCGTCCACCACGGCGAGTCGATCAGCGTCCTTTTCCAGCACAACTAAAAGCATCATTTCATGGCGTTTGAAAAGATCATCGGCTTTTGCATCGGAGGGTTTATTGGATTCCACAACTACTTCTAGGGAGATTTGGGCAACAATTGTTGCTTTTACGGCGTTCAGCTCTGGAGGTGGTCAAGTGTGGCATCTTTTTCTTGCTTTGCCAGGGATGCTCTAGACGTTTTCTTTACTCTTTTACCCGGATCATCCACGACATTCGAGCCTGCTTCCGCTTGGAAGCAGAGCCACTCTTTGGCGGCCCTGCGTGGCCAGCCATCTTGCTACACACTACACACATAGGACCTCATCTTCACGATGGAGGCTCTCTGCACAGCGGCCCGATTAGCGGTTCTTGATACTGCGGCCTTGCTATACACACTCTTATGCCCCATGGATCACACTGTTCCCTGTCTGCGATATTGGCTATTTCAATTTCTTCACGTGGGGAGTGGCGCGTTCTTCTTGCGGCCACAGCGCTAGTTCGATGGCTGTTTTTTTGGCTGCAGGCCGTCCACGTAACATAAACACTCCGTAGGAACTCAGATGGACTTGTCCTGGGAGTTTCCGCCCGCTTGCGTATCGTGAGCTTAGACGTAGATATCGTGACATATGACTTAGAACTAGATCATCTAGCAATGAAGATATACGAAAGCTCTGTCAGTTGAAACTCTTGTCAATGTTATTCTTGTGCATTCTAGTAAGGTCGGTGATACTGATGCCGATTCAGACCTAATCACGTAACGTTGACCAACGAAGCAGTAGGCAGACGACCAAGGAGAAAAAGAACAATTAGCTACGAGAGAAGTACTATCTGACTGTGACTATCTGACAGTATCGCCCGACCCTTATCTTGAGCCTTTTTTTAATTCCCGTCCATCAACATAGGGTCCAGATTGCGTACAGCAGGAGGTTGAATGCGGCGTGCTGTGAGACATCGGCTCTCTTCTTTGCCTTGATGTCTTTCCAGTCACGTCGGCTTGCCTTGTTTGCACTCAGTTTATACAATGCTAGAATTGGGATGCATAATAAAGCAAAGCGGCGTAGTGAGTGGCGGCGCGGAATCTTCTCCCTAACCACAGTCGGCTTTAGCAAAGCTCGACAGAAGTCACGGTCGTTCTTGAACTGAGTACGTCTGGTTCTGAGCGAACACCCCATTCGGACACGGCGCCGATTCAGGAGCCGAGTTTTCCCCGGGAAAAGGCGCCGGGGAAGTGGGCAACGCCGTCGTAAGCGTTGAGCGGTAGTGACTGATCTGACTGCTGGAAATTTGTGACGCTGTCGTGAGGACTGAGTGACTTTGACTGGTCTAGCTGCTAGGGAATTATGATGCTGTCGTAAAGACCGAGCGATTGTAGATCGTGAAGTTTCTCGGAAGGCAGAACGCTGCTGTGAGAGCTGATACGTTATGAATGTTCTAGGTGCTGGGAAGTTGCAATGCCGCTGCAAGTGAGGGGTTCGAATTTTGATCGTATGCAGAGCGGTAGGTGTTGTAGGGTTTCTGAAGTTGCGCAGGGCCATGGGAGGAGCATGATGCAACCATCGACAAGCTCCACTTGCCATGGGCGAATCGACATTTGTATGCGGCTGCAAAGATGCAAAGTTGCGTCCGAATGTGTGCAAGGTAGTGAGTGAGCGAGTGGTCGTCCTGACTATCGGAAGGACGATGGAAGGTCGTTGCAACAACCGAGCTGTGGGCGTTGCAAGTTGGCGCAAGGCCTTGAGATTGTCAGCCAAATGAGATTCAGTGTTGAGATTTGGAGACTTGCCAGCTGTAAAGTACGTTGATACATGATCAAATAAGTACGATTGTTTGGGTATTGGGAACGTAGAAGCAAGTGACGTTGGACGAATGGTCTGGTCTCATTTGTTTTTCAAAGCTGTATGGAGAATAACAGAATATGTGGCAATGCTGGGCAATACCGGAAGCTTCACGTAGTCTATAAATTAGTCTGTGGTTGTCTTTCGGAGTCACCTGGCGCCTAATGGGCTACCTTGTGGAAAATTATGAGCATCCTGAGCCTATGTCTTTCGTATCAAGTCGCCAGGCCTAGGAACCAACCGGATTCCTCTTCGTAACTAATCGGGCTCTAGACTTTTCCGAGATACATTATCTTCACAATCCTTACTACGAGGATAAGGTAAGAGCGGTTCAAAAGAAAAGTTTCATCTGGACGGTGATTCAGAGGGTTCTCGCATGTATTCCTGATGAGTTTGCTCTCCCAGTGCAGAGGAACAACATTGAGAAGCAGGGGCGGCAGCAGGAACAACGGCAGAAACAGTATGTCAGATGAGATTTTAACAGCCTTTGAAAGGATAATGAATGAGGACAGAAGAATACTCAATATCAGCAATACTCTACCTGGTTAGCCAGAATCATTCGCACGCATTGATAGCAAGCTTCAACGGAAAAAAGGTAAACGCAGTTCCAACATCTTAAGCTGCCTAAAGTCTCAAGAGCTGTGAAATAAAAACTTTCGAATCAACCTTAGTAAGACCTGGCGAGATAGTCAGCTCACAAGGTGGCGGGTGACTTGATGTCCAAGTAAAAGCCGGACACATCCATGTAAAGCCGGCCCCGAGCCCCCACAGAATCCGGACGGGGCCGAATGCGGGGTGCATGTCCCCCCGCTTATCTTATCGCATCTACCTACCTCACCCAAGCTCTCCCCCACCAAAGCCAAGCTCCCGTCCCTCCAACTCCACCTCGGCAACGAGTCCAAACAAGCCACGACCGAGACCGCATCCCGACGAACACGATGGCAACGCTCTCAGGCGCAGAGCGCATCCGCGCAATTACCGATGAGGATGGCATGTTCAAGGCCTTTGACACATACCCATGGAAGAAGGACAAGATGTTCCTGGTGAGCCACACCTCGGCGCAAATCGAGCATCTGATTCCGCACCTCTCTCCCTCAGCTAGCCCAATAGTTCCCTATAGCGAGAGCTGACAGCGTCCATGACAGTCCGGCCTCACCGCAATCCTCGGCGATCCAAACACAGCAAACCCCAAAGGAACTCCCTCCGAACTCGCAACCCACGCCCGGATCTTCTACTACGCCTCGCGCATCGGCGTGAGAATCGACTTCAACAGCTACAAAGACTGGCTCGCACGCCACCCGGACCACACACCACCAGACATCCTCCCCGAAGAATACAAGTCCCAGTCGCCAGCAACAAACGCAGCTGTCGACGTGCCGGACCTAACTTCGAAACTCAATGACCTCAAGACCGACCCCGAAACCAAGAACGACGCTGGCGCAGAAGACACGCCGTCATGGCAGACCGCCGCTCCGAAAGGGGAGCTCTACGTCGAGCGGAAAGCTCCCCCGCAAGTAGACGGTGACGGCGATGGAGGCGAGCCAGCGTATCCTGTCGGCTTCGCGGAGATGCTTCAGATGTTACAGAAGGGCATTCCTATCCCAGGAATAAGACAGATACCCGACACTGTCGTCAGGGATGCAGTAAGTTATCTTCATGGGATCTAATCGACATGGAATCCAATATCTCCCGCTTCCTCATGCTTACGTTATTCAGTCCGTCAAGCCATTTGGGAAGCGTGCGGTGCCAAAGAAACCCTGGGAAAAAGACATACCAACTGCAGATGCAGAAGCAGGAGACCAACCTTCCGTAGTTGACGCTGAATTCCCTCCACTTGATGAGACTTCAGCACCAGAGGCTGACAAATCAAGCAAGGACACGTAGATCCGCAGTAGATGATAGGGGGTTTAAAAACTGTCTTACGGCGTTGGGTTAGATTTAGTGCATAAATTGACGGCGTAGGTTGCTGGGCCAAGGCGGTGTTGCAAGCAAACTTTTCTTTCACTATATCAAGACTTCATACTTAGAAATAGTGTAAGAAGACATTCTCTAGCGAAACTACCTCATGTTGATAAGGGACCGCCGCAGATGCTGTCCAATCTGGACCGAAGCACACTCCAAAGCTTTCTGGAATGTGATAATACTACATACAATCATTGCGTTTCTGGTTCTGATATTCCATGCTGGCCCAGCCGCTCATCTTCTTGTCCTCCTCCTAGTCGTCCTTCCGGCTGTGACGAAAGACGTTTCGAGGACTTTTTGGATTTGTTGATGTTCCGCCATGAATAGACTGCAGCATTCTGGTCGGGTTTCGCGATGCAACTCCAACGCCCCGAATGGGGTTTGAGGTCACACTAACGCACCTCCTCCATATTGCAAAATCCATAACCATGATGTGTCCAATGCACTCGACCAAGTGATAACTTGTCGAGAGTAGGATGACAGCTGATCTGTAAATTAATGGCCGAGGAAAATGTTGGTAAGCACGGACATATGCTGTGGTGCGATGACTTCGTCAGAGCTGATGAAAATCAGGGTATGGGTGTGAGGATTAGGAGTGGGGACAATAGTGACGCAAAGAGAGAACATGGAGGGCTCGTGACAATATAGAGAATATTGCGACAAGCTGCTAACGGCCGGAAGAGGACAGTTCAACGATAGCTGTTGCTACCAGCGTAGCGAGGGGGACCACCCATGCGGCCCATTCCAGGACCGACTCCAGGGCCAGGACGGGTGGCGACCGCAGGGTTGGTGCAGAGCATGCCGACACGGGAGCCAAACTTGGATCCACGAAGAGAAACCATGTGCTTGCGGATGTGAGCGGCAACGACTTCTCGATGCTGCATGCCGGCGTGGGTGAGGATGTATTGAATCAGGTAGTTGCCGTACTGGTCGCTGGCAATGTCAACCAGGGGGATACGGGGGCGGTCGACTCGCCCCTCGCACACACGGTCGAGGTAGCGACCGAGAAAGTCGCAACCACCAATCTTGAGGCACTTCTCGACAACTTTGGAGGCATACTGATCGGTACTGTACTCAGCAGCGTAGCGGATGACGTGGTCAATAGCACGAGATCGATCGGCTGGGGCACCATGCTCGCAAATGTGCTGGATACACCAGTTGCCGAATTGGCCATGAGCCACGATGTCAATGTTGGCAAGAACCTCCTCAATGCAGGGGCGCTAGAGACTTTCGTTAGCAAAGAAATAGATACGGTGAAGCCTTGAAATTACCTTGTCTTCCTCGAGGCAATTCTCAAAGATGTTCTGGACGACGAGACTGCCGGTCTCGCCGAGGGCGACCTCGTGCCACATGCCGCGGAGAGCTTCATTGACAAACTTCATGATTTGAGGCGGACTCTCAGACCATCTGAGCTCGAAAAGCTTCTGCCAGACGTGGCAAGCGTAGCGATGGATGACCGTCTCCGGGATGCGGCGGAGCAGCTCATGAACCATGATAGCCTTGTAGTCCTCCGGAACCGAGTCGAAGGCCTTTTGAACGACGTGGCAGCCGAAGGGGTCCATGGAAAGGTTCAGAGTGTTGCCTCGAATGGCCTCTGCGATCTTCACCACTTGCTCGGGAGTTCCGTGCTCGAAGCAGCGCTGGACCAGAAAATTGCCGAAGCGGTTGACCATGAGAGGATAAGCCTGGGCAACAATAGCCTCCACGATCTCGTACTTCTGATCCGGAGTGCCGACCTTGAGTTTTTGCTGCAGGAAGATGGAGGCCTGCTGGTCGTTGTTGCAGACGATCTTGTCGACGATGTACTTCCAGTTGCAGTTGACATTGCGGTCCAATAAGCGACGGTAATTGAGAGGCTCAGTAGTCGGCAGGTAAGTCTGACCCTCGGAAGCAATGGCCTGCTCGGGTTGATCAGTCAGTCTGCTGGATCTAACACCCTTTCTCTGACCATCCCGACGTACCTCGTTCTTCCAGCCAGATGCGGCGGTGAATTCGGTAGCATGGGGCGAAAGCTGACTTCCGATGGACTGCGGATTGTAGCCCTGGTACATGCCGGAGCCCATGTTGCCTCCAGGACCACCCAGACCGCCAGCCATGGGGTCAAACGGAGAGGGTGAGGGGGCGAAGCCTCCGTAGCTAGGTTGGAAGTTGGAGCCACCATACGGCTGAGGAGAAGGCCAGCGGCTGCTCTCGTAGCGATTGTTGCGGCGACTGCTGGGAGGGCGGGAGAACATCTCGGTGTCCTGGTTCATGCGATCTCCGCGGTAGCTGTCTCCCGCGGGAAAAGGCCCAACAGGGTCCATGAATCCTTGGTTGAAGCCGCCACGGCCGCTTCCGTACCAATCTCCTGCCATCGACTGAGAGTCAGGAGGAGGCATGGCTGCACCACTGTTGGAGAAAGGGGGTCTAGCGCTGGCCCAGATGCCACGAGAACGGCTGTAGCCACCAGCGGAGGGCGCACCTGCATCCGAGCTGCTGTCATCATTGGGAACCCAGCTGTTCTCGGGTCCAAGCATGCTAGAACGAACAGACGGCGTTGGCTGCATGATTTCGTCATCCTGCTTCACGGAACGCGTCTGGGCAAGCTCGTGGTCGAGGCGGGTGATCTTGGTTTGGGCTCGAGCAAGCTCCATCTTGAGGCGAAGGAGCTCCTCCATGTTGCCGCGGTTCTCCTTAAGAGTAGCGCTGGCGGGGCGAGTCGTGGGAGCAGTACTGGGAAAGGTATCGGTAGCGGGGGTAATGGGGACAGAAGTGCTGGCCGAGGGAATTGAGTCGTCCACGACACGAGAGTATAAAGCGTCGTCAGTGTTCTTCAGAGCCTCATTCTGCTGGTCGAGCGCGGCTTGCTGCTCCGAAAGCTTAGCAAGGAGCATATCCATGGGGTTCGTGCCGGCAATTGTGGTCGACTCCTGATTGGTCTTCTTCTGTTGTCGCTGTGAGCGAGGCAGCAGATGGCGGGTCGAAGAACCAACCTTCAAAGCATTCTGATTGATTAGCTTGGAAGAAGCAAAGGTCGAGACACCCGGCTTGAGGTTGCCGAGCGAATGGTCCTTTCGATATTCGTCAGCAAAGATCCTGTGGCATTCAATAATTCCACGATGTCTGTCATTGGCCCGGCAAGACCCAAGCTGATATGAGTGAATAGACAGAAGACATGAACTCACGTTGCCGACAGACTCGGGCGACTGCTTCATGTACTCCTCTCCGAAGACGGGCATCGACGTAACAGGCGAGCCTCGCTTCGAAGTAGCGTACGCGGAGTCGGGAGTAGACATGGTGGGCTCGCGAACGATGCCTTATCGAGGAGTCGATACGTTGCAGAAAATAAGTCAGGGTATTGCCCAAAAGTGGCAGAAGAAATGAGAAAGATTCCTTTGCAAGGGTTGCAGATGGAGGAGTGCGGATGGAATTTTCCTCTCTGCGTTGGAGGTTTGTGGTGGTGAAGGTGAAGGTGAGGGTGAAGGGGAGAGAGAAGAGTTTTGTTTTTGGGGTGGTCGAGATGTGGAAGTAGGGAGAGGCAGGAAGGCGGCAGCAACAGAGGCAGCTGAGGGGAAGGAGACCACTCTGGACTGTACAGGTACCTCCTTGTGGTATTTGCGGTAGATCTCACTGAGAAAATCCTCCACAAAGTCGGGAAACAACAAGTCAGTAGATACCTGGCTCTAAATCCGACCTGGGTGTGAGGTAGGAGAGGTGCGTTGCTGAGGTGACTTTTTGCTCAGGCAAGAAAGGCGGTTGTAGGTGTTGAAGGAGGCAAGAGCGATTGTTGACTGGCAAAAAATCTGAGAACGATCCTCCTCTTTTGAGACGAGTGAGTGGCAGTCGGATCGTCTGGTCTGCAGGCACCAACTTCGAGGTCTTGCTTTAGCTACCTTAGCTGGACCGGAGAACAATTGCCCCACTACTTTAATATCACTGATATTCTGATTTTTTAGGAACCGCTCAACGTGAAATTCCTTGGTGCTGTACCGGGAGGCCATTTGGCGGGTGTGCAAGGTCTATAGGATTTCAGCACCTTGTGAGGCCCTCGTGATTTACAACCGTGCTTTCGGCCCATTTTGGAGACATAGCGACCTCGGGCCGTCATTGAGTTCCTTTCTTCTCTATACAAGCCTAATGAAAGGCAGACAGTCTTCCCAGGCTAGGTAAAGATTATCAGCAAGCGAACCTTTCTGAGATTTTTCATAACGTCATTCAAATCGGTCTACGCATTGCAGCTCTTGCTATGAGAGACCTTCACATACACCGTATATAATACATTGGATGCCTCTATCTCGTCACCCTTTCCGAATGTGTACACCGGAAGCCAGGCTGACAGCGGCTGAAATGTCTCAGCACGACCCAGAGGTCTTTGACTGCGGTTCGGACGCAAATTCGAGTTCCGAAAGATATCACCAATTGCGCCGCAAATCGTGAGCATAAATCGAGAGCATGTCGACAGGTTGATATCGGGGAGGTTGTTCGCCGGTTGTGCAGGGTATCGTACAGCAGAGTTGACTATGTGGGCAGCGTTTATTTCTTCTTCTTGACGACTGCGAGGCTGTCAGCGTGGATACCAAACGAAGTGGACGGCAAGACTTACCCTTCTCCTTCGCCTTCTTTGGTGCACTCTTTCCTCTAGCCTTCAATCTGTACCTCTAATCAGCGCGAATCCCTTGTTTCTCCTCAAGCCAGAGCATACCCAGCAATGTGGTCCAATCTGTCCAATTCATCCAAGTCGAGAGTCGTGAGCTCAGGGCCAAATTCCTTCTGAACATCTCGGACAGTGAGAACCTTGCGCGGGTAGTAGGCAGCAAGAGCAGGTCCCTTCAACCGTTGGCGCAGGATCTTGTTGCCCGTACGGACACCCTCGGGGTTAAATGTTGTCGCAAAGAGTTCGCATCGGGCCTACAACTGTCAGCTCAAAGTTCACGGGCAATAAGTTCCTCCGAGTGACATACCTTCATGAGGTCCAGCAACCTCGCGCGTGGTACACTCATCTTTGCCTCGTCCGCAGGTCGATGACGGGGATCGGAATTTTGTCGCGATATGCAAGACCTTGACAGAGACGTTGAATGCCAGACCCACTTGGCTGGTTTGCGCTGCCCAATTGGGTGTGCGCACGGATTATCGATTGACCGCTGACTTGCAACCGGGCCCAGGCAGGCGGGCGGCGGGTAGGGCCCCGTCCTTCCTAACGCTGGTCGACTGGGTAAGGTACCCACTGGCGGGCGCGCTTCGGGTGACAGGGATGCAAATTGATGATTGGAAGTGCTTTCAAATGGCATCTGAAATATCGAATAAATCAATTTTCTCATTTTGGAAACTTCCTATACGCTAAGTCCAGTTTTCGTTTGTGCACTAAAAGCCTCTGTGCAAAGTGCTTGAATAGCGATACGAATTGCACTAAACCCCGACTCTTTCCTGCCCCAAGCCAAAGCGCCGATTTTCACAATGAGCAAACGTCCCAGCTCAACTTCGGAGGGCTTGCCTCCCAGCAAGAGAAGACAAACAGACAACGAATCCGTCGAATTGATTGTTTCTCATAGCGATGAACTCATCAAGTGTCTCCAGGCGCTGAGCAAATCGCCCAAGGGGACATCGCCTCAGGGTGACATGCTACAAAATCTTCGAATCCTCAGCAAAAAGCTCCTTCCGTCGTTCAAGTATCTAGCTGGCGAAGAAGAATATTTGCCTGAGAATGAGGAGATTAAGTCAAAGGTGAGGATATTCCAAAAAGTGATGCCGCACCACGAAGGCCAGACTTACAAATTTGCAGGAGAAATCTATACACTCACATTCACTCGATGGGCCTCCAATTCCTTCCCTCTCAGCCGTCCGACCTTGGACTGCCTCGGACATTCCCGCCACATTACCACCTCTACCCAAAATCAACAATCCCGTCTTGGAGGTAGCTGCCTTCACTCACCAAGGAAAGGTCAAGAACAAAGGCGACCTGAGCTACGACCGCCTCGAGTGGCTCGGAGACGCTTACGTGGAGCTATTATCGACATGCCTCATCTTCCAAACATTCGGAGGCTTGCCTACCGGAAAGTGTTCCCAGATACGAGAAGTCCTCATCAAGAATGCCAACCTCGGCGACTATTCTACGCAATATAAGCTTTTCGAGAGAGCAATCCTCCCAGCTGAGCTTGACCCGAACAGCAAGATAGCGGTGAAAGCAAACCCGCAAGAAGTCAGGAAAGTCAGAGGTGACTTATTCGAGGCTTATGTTGCTGCCGTCATTCTCTCTGATGCAGACGGTCTTCGCCGGGCCGGAGAATGGCTGCGCTCACTCTGGAGTATGACAATCAAGGACAAGATTGAATCTGCCGACAGGACTCCAGACATTCATGTTGTGAAGGAATTGGGGAGCTCAGCGGCACCACAGGAGTCCAAGCTACCCCCCAAAGTCGAATTATCGAAACTCATTGGAGCTAAGGGCATCAACATTCGGTATGAAGACTTGCCCAGCGCCAAACAGAAGGACAAGTTGAATAAGAAGCTGGCTTTGTTCACTGTTGGCGTGTATCTGGATGGATGGGGCGAGAGGAACAAACTTCTTGGAGTGGGCAGCGATCTGAACAAAAAGGAGGCTGGACAGAAAGCAGCCGCAGCTGCACTGGGCAACAAAAAACTCATGAAGACGTACCAGGACAAGAAGGTCGCTTTGTACAAAGCTCGCGAAGACTTGGATGGGATGGAGCCTTAGGCACGACACTATTGACTGGATGAACTTTGCAGAGCGTGATGACGCAAGTTGGATGTGGTGATGGTCAGGTTTCGAAGTAGCATTGTACCCACGATACCAATACATACAGTACCGATATCAAAAAGCTTGATGCTTCAATTCCTTGACCGCTGAGAACGTGGCTGTCGTGAAAAGCTCTGCGATTCAAATATAGGACGAAAACGCATCGCCCTCGTGATAAGCCAGTCGTAGCGCAGCTGAGCGTGTACGCGTGCCAGGAGCCAGCAATGCCGAAAGACGACGTTCGGCCGCACAGGAAGACCAGACGTCCCTCGGCTTGTGCATGGCCAGCCAGGTGTAAGTGGCTTCTAGCGCCAGTTAACGGAACTTAATTGACGAAAACATAACATTAGAGAGATTTCCCAAAAGAGCGTGCCGCAAACCCCAGATGTGCTCGACCTTGGGCCGGCTGCCCGCATTTCACGTGTTTGTTGTCTCGGCCGACCGACCACCCAGGCGGCATCGCACTACGGGCAGCACGACGCGGGGTGGGCGAGATTAAATTGCTAGTCGGGATCTCGGAGACGCAAACCCCTGACAAGCCCGCGTCAGGCCCGCGCGCCCACCCCCGGCTGGTGCTCCAGTGTCCTTGTGCTGCTGTGGAGAGAGGTCGGTAGCGTGGCAGCGTGGGCTTGCGTTGCGTCGTTGCGTGACCGGCCGAGGCAAAGAATTACCGGCAACTCACTCGCACTCGCACACCACCTTTTTTGGCTGCTCTGGTGCTCCAGCTGTTGCTAACATCGGCGCGAACTGCTCTCTAACCACCTCACCTCCCAGACCCCCAGCAGCTGATTGCCGGTACCGAACAACGGATACCTACCTACCTAGCTTGCCCTGCCTACCTTGTCTGGCGGTACCCGCCCGTCGCTGTAACTTGCCTAGCCGGTATTATCTTACCTTTCCCGCGGCCGCCAACCACGTCTCGTCCAGTCCCTCGTTGACGACTCCAAGGTGCAACTCCATGGCGGAGCTCTCTCAACATGCATGTCAGCGTGCTGGATTTCTAAATCTGTCGTTTTACCAGCACCTGTCTCTTTAATTCAGCTGCCACTGCTACGCACCCTTGTGGAGGTGAAGCAGTTGGTACGCTTTATCTAAGTTATCTCACCCGGTTGTTGAGCCGAGCCCAACCCGACCCTCCCGCCGACTCAGACCTCGGACATCCACGCGACTCCCTCACCTCCAATCTTCACCCACCCACCCAAATCGAAATTGTTCGGTGTCCTGTCCGTACAGGACGGCCTTCTAGATGGCCGACTCTGTGGGTGAGTTTTTAGCAAACCAGAAAACCTTACTTCCCTTGGTTTTCTCCCGTTGTGGGGAGTGCAATTCCCCGGCTAATTGTATCGTCATGCTCTTCCACCGCCCATAGACCGCGTCTTCGTCCATGCCTTAAATACCGTCAAAAAGATCCCCAAAACGGGGGCCTCGCGCCCCCCGCCGTCAGACAGACTCCGACTCTATGGCCTGTACAAGCAAGCGATGGAGGGAGATGTCGATGGCGTCATGGAGCGCCCGACCTCGGCTTCCGGATTGCCTCCCGACGAGCTGCAACGCGAGAAGGACAAGTGGGATGCCTGGAACTCTCAGAAGAGCTTGACGCGCACGGAAGCAAAAAGACGATATATCGAGGCATTGATAGAGACGATGCACAAATACGCGACCACGCCGTAAGACTCCCAGCCACCTTCCCTTCCGAGCGCGCATCACGACCAGGCCGCCACTGACTCGCCATCTGCAGGGACGCGAAGGAACTCGTCGCGGAACTTGAATTTGTGTGGAATCAGATCAAAAACAACAGCCCGAGTTCGACCGATTCGTCGCCGAAAGGAACAGGATACACCACCGAGTCCCGCCGGTTCCTGCAACCATTGAGCGGATCGGAGGGTCCCATGAAGATACTCAGTCCCATGAGCGAAGACGATGCCGCCGAGCGAGATTCCGATAGGCGGTTGGGATACAACGACGGCATAGAAGACGACGCACTTGTACCGAGCAGTAATTGGTCGCGCAGCGTGGAACGTGCATTGGAGAAACTGACGGCCGAAGTTGCCGCCATGAGGGAGCAAATAACGACCGGGAGAGAGTGGAAGTCTAGAAAGCAGCGCAGCTTTATGGCTTGGGTCCGGTGGTTCGTGTGGATCGTCATGAAACATCTCGCCATTGATATCGTCCTGTTAGCCTTCATACTGCTCTGGATGCGCAAGCGGAAAGACAGACGGTTAGAGGACTTGGTTCGGGCAGGGCTGAAGCTGATGAGGGAATACGTGAGAAAAGTCCTGCCGTCCAGATGACAACACTCGCGTGGGACTTAAGAAGCCCGCATACAAGATCCTACAATGGATGGATGGATGAGATGGCCTGCTGCCGCGTTGGGGTGCAGCCGCTTGTCTGAGCAAGATCAGCGGCATGTTAGTCTGAACGAAGCTGAGAGGCTCGCTAGACTTTAACATCAACTCGTCGCTCGACTCGGTCATGGCGTATCGGGCCCATCTCCCTACACCACAACCCACGACAGTCCGCTTCCGAATAAGTCTGGCCAAAAGTTCATCTTCAAGCGACGTTTTCGCCCTACGATCGAAAGCGACATGTCCAAATTTCAAAGTTTTTGTACAACACACCAGGGGATAAATGCCGAGCCGAGCAGAGGGGTTGATTCAGCGAGAGTGTTACAGCATCATTGGGCGGTATCAGCAGCCATTATTGCCATTTGAAGAGCCATCCAAGTATACCATAGTCAATAGGGCAGTTATCATTGAATAAGACCAATTAACTTTGTCATCACATATTGCGATTCCCACGCACGCCGCACTTTGTCGCCAGGTCACTCACTGCAAAACCAATCGACAATGACCAAGACACGAGGAGTAACAAAAATGATCCCAACAGTTGTATTTCTGCATTCTTCCATATTTTGGTCGTGTTCCCTCGATGTAGGGGCTGGAAACACCCCATCCCCTACGAGTTGTGCATTGGACTCAGGGTCCTTGTCAGTCGTGGAACCCAAGGTGACTTGTACCTGGCTTAGAAACACGCTTTAATCGAGCGCGGACTTGGACCCTCCCTGAACCTCAACGCCCCATCTACAACTCCCACCCAATCCGGCGAAGAACGAAGTCCGGTTCTTTCGCCTCACGGCACCCATCATACTAAACTCAAGTTACCCTTTCTTCTTCAATGGATTGAGGCTACCGAACACTCGTCGACAGGATGCAGGACGCAGGCAGTGGAGGGAAGGCAGGCGATGCGCCTTTGCACGCGGCAGGAGAGGCGAGTAATCCCTTGGAGGAGGAGGAGGAATACATCCCGAGTCTCCGAGCCAACGCGCAGGCAATGGCCATTTTCGTACCACTGGAAGAATCCCTCTTTGAGCCTTCTGAAGCACCCAAGACCAATGGCGAGCGTCTCGAAAAGACCATCGACAAGCTAGACAAGCACTTTGCAGCGGTGCAGGAGAACATCATGTTCGTCTATGAGCGAGAGCGGCGTCGCATCATCCAGGTTGCGAAGAAAATGGAAGCGATGAACGGGCCTGTTGAGACAGACACTTCTCTCACGCCTCACGACCAGGAGGTCTTGCAGGCCTACATCGAAGCACCGTTGCCGCCTGGCGCCAACTACGCTGCTTACCACAGCCGAACTCAGACGACATACACAGCTCCTGTCGCGCCAACGGAGAATTTGCCTGCCAGGCAAGGTGCCATTCAGTGGTCTCTATACAACGCGGGCCAGGAGCTCGTTCAGATTTATGGCTATCATGAACACGCTGAGAATATATTGGCCGGGTATCGGGCGGCTCTCAAGAAGGAAGTTGATGCAGATACTACCAAAGATGGAAGTGGAGGCGAGATGTCCCAGTAGGCTCAACGAGCTCGCAGGAGCTGTTGAAAGAGTTTGGAAGGAGTGGTGTTCGACCAGTGTAATCGACGAGGATCGACGAGGACAACGGGAAGGACGGACCGTCTATATACCTGCACCTCGGGCCCGAATATTTGTTTGTCTCCATCGCCACAACGCGGTCAACGTCAACGCGTGACAGCGACACATGTGGTAAATGTCACAGCACGAAATGTGTGCAACTGTACATAGCCTTCGCAAGATACTAGCAAATCCACATGCAGTCTACAAATATCTTGTCGTCATCATAATATGTAACGACCGGCGGTAAGAGGCATCGGTCATTGAAGAAATCTCCCATGCTTCCATAAACGGCGTCAAAATGTTTCTCTAGAGCTACTAGATAGAGGAAGGCTCGACAGAAGCAGCCTTGCGGCGCTCAAGCTCACCTACGATAAGTGCCCGTGTACAATTGATGAAGAGGAAAAGAAGAAGAGGCGCTGCGCGATGAAATTTTACCCGAGGATTAAATGGTGCACGGTGGGTTTTGTGGGTGCCTCAGGCCCCGAACAGCTCCAAGCCGGCTCGACCAATCACGGCCGATGTAAATTAATCGCGATTTACGCACTAGCGCCACCAAATCCCCATGGCCCGGGACAGAAGAGCAGTTCCCTCCCGACGTCAACGATTGTGAGATTCAATCCGCCTCCCACCATTTCGCCCTCCCACGTCTCGTCTCTGTCTCAATCCGTCAAGGCGACACGATGCTGCGGCACTCTCTAGCACGTTCGGCTTGGCGGACTGGCAAGCAGGCCGCCAATGCCTCGCGAACTTTTGCAACCACAGCTCGCAGGAATGCCGAAGTCGAGCTGACAATCGGTACGCCTGCCCGCCCTGACGAGGGTCCAATTGGACTTCATAGGCCTTGCTAACATGATCCGCAGACGGAAAGAAGGTTTCTGTTGAAGGTGAGGTGTAACGAGTGCGGCTCCGGAGACTCCTGCTCATGATTATCTAGCCGGCTCCGCCTTGATTCAAGCTTGCGAAAAGGCAGGCGTAACAGTGCCCAGGTTTGTCCAGCCGCTCGAAAACCATCTTGAATGTCATTTGCTGACTCCGTAACAGATATTGCTATCATGAGTACGAAATCCTCCAATCGAGTCGATGACCGGTACCATTCCGAGGGATAGCCCCCCACTGACAAATACGAACAGAAAGCTTGCGATTGCCGGTAACTGCCGTATGTGCTTGGTCGAAGTCGAGAAAGCCCCGAAGCCCATCGCCTCCTGCGCATGGCCCGTACAGCCCGGTATGGTCGTCAAGACCAACTCCCCGATTACACACAAAGCCCGCGAGGGTGTAATGGAATTCCTCCTCGCCAACCATCCGCTCGACTGCCCTATCTGCGACCAGGGTGGTGAGTGCGATCTCCAAGACCAGTCGATGCGTTACGGTGCCGACCGTGGCCGTTTCCACGAGATGGGCGGCAAGCGTGCTGTCGAGGACAAGAACATCGGACCCCTCATTAAGACCTCCATGAACAGATGTATCCACTGCACACGATGCGTCCGTTTCTCCAATGATATTGCCGGAGCCCCCGAGATGGGCTCTTTCGGCCGTGGCAACGACATCCAGATTGGTACCTACCTCGAGCAGAACCTCGACTCCGAACTTTCCGGCAACGTTATCGACCTCTGCCCCGTCGGCGCTCTCACCTCAAAGCCTTATGCCTTCCGTGCGAGACCTTGGGAGCTGAAGCACTCCGAGTCTATCGATGTCCTTGACGGTCTCGGCTCCAACATCCGCGTCGACTCCCGTGGCCTTGAGGTCATGCGTATTCTCCCCAGGCTCAACGACGACGTCAACGAGGAGTGGATCAACGACAAGACCCGTTTCGCCTGCGACGGCCTGAAGACCCAGAGACTGACCATGCCTTTGATCCGCCGCGACGGCAAGTTCGAGCCCGCTGACTGGGAGGCTGCCCTTATGGAGGTTGCCAACGCCTACCACCACATCCAGCCCAAGGGCAACGAGTTCAAGGTGATCGCCGGTGAGCTGACTGAGGTTGAGTCCCTGGTTGCCATGAAGGACCTGGCCAACAAGCTCGGTTCCGAGAACCTGGCCCTTGACATGCCCAACGGAAGCAAGCCCATCGCCCACGGTGTCGACGTCCGCTCCAATTACCTGTTCAACTCCAGAATCTACGGCATTGAGGAGGCTGATGCCATCCTTATTGTCGGCAGCAACCCCCGTCACGAGGCCGCCGTTCTGAACGCTCGTATCCGCAAGCAATGGCTCCGCTCTGACCTCGAGATCGGTGTTGTTGGCGAGACTTGGGACTCTACTTTCGAGTTTGAGCATTTGGGTACCGACCACGCCTCTCTGAAGTCGGCTCTTGCCGGACCCTTCGGCAAGAAGCTCCAGGCTGCCAAGCGCCCCATGATCATCGTTGGCTCTGGTGTCACTGACCACGAGGATGCCAAGGCCTTCTACGAGACCGTTGGTGCCTTCGTCGACAAGAACGCCGCTAACTTCCTTACTGAGGAGTGGAACGGATACAACGTTCTCCAGAGAGCCGCTTCCCGCGCCGGTGCCTTCGAGGTCGGCTTTACCACTCCCTCCGCTGAGGTTGCTGAGACCGCCCCCAAGTTCGTCTGGCTCCTCGGTGCAGATGAGATCTCTGAGAAAGACATTCCCAAGAACGCCTTTGTCGTCTACCAGGGCCACCACGGCGACCGCGGTGCCCAGATTGCCGACGTCGTCCTCCCCGGTGCCGCGTACACCGAGAAGGCCGGTACCTACATCAACACCGAGGGTCGTGTCCAGATGACCCGCGCTGCCACCTCCCTTCCTGGCGCTGCCAGAACGGATTGGAAGATCATCCGTGCCATCAGCGAGTTCTTCGGCGCCCCCCTGCCCTACGACGACGTTGCCCAGCTCCGTGACAGAATGGTTGAGGTCAGCCCGGCCCTGGCGGCCTACGACGTTGTTGAGCCCGTCGCTCTGCAGCAATTGAGCAAGGTTCAGCTGGTTGACCAGAACAAGGGCACCAAGGCCTCTGGCTCGCCTCTGAGGAAGGTTATTGACAACTTTTATTTCACAGACGTCATCTCAAGAAGGTATGTTGCTCCTGTCTCCTAAGCTTTGGTGTCGAGTATTAAGCTAACGTGCCTTCTCAGTTCGCCAACAATGGCCCGCTGCTCTGCGGCCAAGGCCACTGGCAACCCCAAGACCAACTTCATGGCACCAGGCATGGAGGAGGACAGGCCGATGGGCCAGGTTGCGTACGGAGCATGAGGGGCAGGCTGTACGATCGTAGAGAAGAGAATAAAAGAAAGTTCTTTTGTCAGGGATGGGAGCATTGCTTGTACATAATAGGATGCGAGGGTAGAGTCGGGTGGAAGTTGAAGAAAGTAAATAACTTCAACCTGCTGTTTCCTTGATGTGAAAGCAATTGATGATTAGTTAACGAAATCTTCCCGCAAGTTGTTGTCAGTTTCGTGCCATGAATGATGTGTGAGATGCCATCAGCAGTCTGCCTTCTTCCTCTAACTAACGAAGGATAAAGACGGCAATGCGGACAGAGACGGGGACAGAGACGGGGACAGAGACAGGGGCAAATATAGTGATAGTAATATGAGGGCAGCGAGGAGAATACCTAGCTTTGGAAGGCTTTGCTCATATACGTACAGCGCAGGATGAACTAGGAAGGTGGCAGGTGGTTCTTGCCTTGAACTGGCTTTCAACTGACGGCAGCTACCTATCTAGGACTGGTTCCTTCCCTCGATATTCAACAGCGAGCAGAGGTGTTGATGGCTCAGTTGGTCAGGTCTGGCCAATGTGCTTGCGCCCTGAAGTCCTTGACACTTCTGTTCGCTGGGTCATAATATGGTTATGGGTTCAACCCTGCCTTTTGCCATTTGAAAGAGCTTTTTCTTTTTTGCCCCTGCTCCTCGCACCCAGCAGTGTGGTGATTCTCAACCGACACACTGATGATATTTTGACAGACCGAAGCTAACCACGCACTCAAACAAGCCGCTCAGGAAGGTAATGAAAGTTGCTGGCCCTCAGAGGCTTCTGGGCTACGTCAAAGACTTTCCACAAAACAACCCAAGGACACCACAGAGGTACAATCTTAAACAACATCCGCCATTAATCTCACGGCCTTCGGAAGGGGCCTTATGCAATTGTAGACAGCATCGGCCGCAAACAGAAGACAAAAAGTCGCAAATATCCTACGGTCTGTACTACCCAAAAGACGGCTGGGAACCGACATTGTTCGAGCCAGATCTCCTGATACAAGTCCATGGAACCGTTTCACGAAAATCAACGAAACGTCAATGTTTGATGCTCAGCCATAGCCCGTGTGTAGTAGATTACTACTCATCATGTAGCATTAATCTAAGAGCTACAGCTACACTGAATAGCTCTCTTCAACTTGGGCACATCCCCGACCCAGCGTTCCTCCTCTTGCTTGTCCCCCTTGTATACCTTTCCATCAAACTCTGCCCCGTCCCAGCTGTCCGCAAATGGGTTCAGTGCCATGTGCATGACCCTCTTCAGCACATCTCTCTCGTCCTCCTTCTCAACTCTCTTGATGATTTCATCGAGGACCCAGCCGCGGGGGATGAAGTTGGGGTTGACAGCCTTCATGGCCGTCACCCTCTCATCGTCCTTGTCCTCGCCCCAGTCCTCGACGACACGAGCGCGCCACTTGTCCAGCCACGAGGCGACGTCGGCGCGACCCTTATCGGTGACACCCTCGGCATGGAAGAATCGCGCCGCAACTTCCTTCCTTCCCGCCTCGTCCGCGATCTCAGAAAGCCTGACGGAGCTGAGGCGGCGGAAGAAGTGGTTAAAGTCCAACTCATGCGTCTCCATCGTGTCGAGGATGCCGCTGAACAGGTCGTCAAAGTCGCTGTCCTTGAAGTTCTTCAGACCGACGCGCAGGGTCATGAGACGCTTGTACTCCGCCAGGAACAGCGCCTTGTACTCCTCGCCGACCTGCATGATCAGCTTCTCCGCACGGCCAACGAGCTCCTCGGCCTGGCTCTCTTCGACGCCCTGGTTGACGAAAGTGTCCTCGTCCACGCCGGCTCCGGCCCCGATGAGCTCGCCCAGCGCCTCGCCGAACCTAACGAGGTTCCACCAGATGATGGTCGGCTGGTTGCGGTAGCTGTATCTCAACATGTAATCATCGTGGTTCGGCGTGTACGCGGGGTCGAAGTTGTCCATGAACGCAAACGGTCCAAAGTCGATGCTCAATCCCATGATTGACGTGTTGTCCGTGTTTAGGACACCGTTCATGAAGCCGTACGCCTGCCACTTCGCCACCGTCAGTGCATTGCGCCGCGCAACCTCACGGAACAACCGAGTGAAACGGTTCTCTGCAGAGTCATCCGGCCCCTGGATCTCTGTCGCAGGCACGCCACGGCTGGGCTCAAGAGACTTGGCCGGCTCTTCCGGGTTCTCGAGGCGGGCGGGCAGAGACTCCCAGCCGCCGAGAACGTCCTCGGCGACGTACGTTGCGAGAGTGCGCAGGAGTGCGCGGTCACCTCTTGCGCGGGGAAGGTCGAAGTTGCCGAGGCGGATCCAGGATTGGGCGAAGCGCAGGACGATGGCGCCGGGCTCGACGGTCTCGCGGCGGACTTTGGTGTTGGGCAGGAGGGTCAGGGACAGGGCGCGCGTGCTGGGGATCTTGAGGGCGTTGAGGGCTTCGGAGACGATGAACTCGCGGATGCTGGACCGCAGAACGGCCTTGCCGTCTGCGAAGCGGGAGTACGGTGTGATACCCGCGCCTTTCAGCTGCAGCTCATACCGAACCTTCGTTTCCGGGTTCGTCGTCTCGAACAGAGAGATGGCTCGTCCGTCACCGAGCTGGCCGGCCCATTGTCCAAACTGGAACCCGCCATAGCACTGCGCCCAGGGGTATCCTCCCTCCAGTTTCTCTTCGTCCCACCCATGTAACCTGTTACCGGCAACAGTCTGCTTGAACTCCTCCGTCTCTTCGTCCCCTTCCTTGATGCCAATGTCGCGCAGAGCAGCAGGGCTTACGGCGAGAAGCTCCGGGTTCTCAGCCTTCTCGGGGCGCACCCAGGTAAAAGCGGCTTCGCGGACCTGGCGCGGGGTGATTTGATCGCGGGGTGTCTTGTGAGAGTCGGCGGGCGTGGGAAAGGTAGAGTCGGCGGGGAGCGAGGAGGTGTAATGCCATGTCTTTGGCAATTCAGCTAGCGGGAGGCGGCCGTGGCCGCTCGCTGTCGTGGCTGAGCCGTTGGAAAGTTGTGCAGCCATGAGGGGCTTCGTGAAGGCGTTTGGGACGGCGCGGCGGGAAAGTAGTCTCGAGAGCATATACGCGGATTGCGACAAAAAAGTCAATAGCGCATGCGATGATACTCAGTCTAGTTAAAGACTTTTATGACGAACTGCAGAGGCAACGTGAGATTTGGGGTATCTTGAATTGGATGAGGACTAAGGAAAAATTGCCCCTCAGAGGCAAAGACTGCAATTTGCTAATGATGATGATAGTGTAAGCCGTCCCATCACCGTCGGTGTTGAAGACTCGACCCCTCGGAGCTTTCTCAGTGGCGATTGGGGAACACCCATGCTGAGTGCTGACCTAAGCTCCACTGGAAATGCGCACCCGGATAGAGAACCTCGGCGACCATCTCGACGGTCGCCGGCCTCAACTCCGTTTCCGATCACGGAGTCTTTCATTGCGTGTTCGTCTTATTAAGCCTCAATTCCAAATAATCGAAGTCCTGCTCGGTGACCGGCTCAGGTCCGACGGTGTCGTGTTCCGTTGCTCTCAACACCTCGGCCCGTGTGCCGGCCGACGCTCAAGTCACGCAAGAGCTCCGGGCATGCCGTCATAGGCGTTGGTCAGAACTGCGTACAAAAAGCCCCGCGCTCGCGAGATTTCAGCGCACCCTGACAGGTCTGGTTGGGGGCCGGGGCAGGTGGGGTTCTACGGTGTGCCCTGTGCTTCAGACGGGACCTCAAGACGCTCCACGAACTTGATGCCGTTACTGTTTGTCAGAGCAATGGTTTTCAGGACTTGACGCGGTACAGCTTCTTCGCCCCTGTACAGCATGCCGATAGAACCGATAACTTTAACTGGCTGGCTGGTAACCGTTGCCAAGGGTTCCATCGAGGACCCCGTGTTGATGTGCCGAACAGGGACTGTACGGATGATGTCAATGGCCAATCCAGACAGTGTGTGCAGTATCCGCCGCGACGGTTAATGACGGTCCGCTGCATGTTATCGAAGCGAGGGAAGGGGGAATACGCAAACCCGGCACGATGTGGCTGGCGTGCTTGCTTGGTATCGTCTGGTCCCCTCGTCCCATCGTTCCCTGATACACTACGTGAATTCCACAGGCTCGTCTGAACGAAAAACGAAGCATTGGTCCATCTGATTAGAAATATAAACCCACTCAGCTCTTCTGCCCCTCCTTCCAACATCCTACACAACCGTATGTTCCTCACGAGAACGATCTCGAGACTGCCGTCAACAACATCATCTTGGCTTCGTCATCACTCCATTCCTCGACCCCTCAGTCCCCAGCTCCAGCAGCGCAAAATGAACTCAATTCTTTCGACCTTCAAGCCTGATGCCTCGGGCACACCCCCGAAGCAGGTCCCCTACATTCCTTGGCTCAAACTCAATGATGGCAATGAGATCCCAATGGTGAGTGACGCTTGTTGTTGTTCCTGCGGCATGGTGCCCACGCCCGCGGGAGGATCCTAGCTCGGTCTGCCGTGTGTCAGCACCATAAGGGTCGCTTGGGACGGGAATGCACCAATGTGCCGGTTGATCGCTGCCACGCTGCCGCACACTTAGACTGCAACGTGTGATGGACCGCTGACGTAGCGGCAGCTTGCGTATGGATTGGGCACGGCCAACTACAAGACGGGCGGCGCTGGGTTCGATGAGAAGATTGTCAACAACACCGTCATGGCCGTGAAGCTGGGCTACCGCCATCTCGATGGTGCCGAAGGTATGTGCAGGGACCCTTTAACATCGTCATTGAGCACGCCCTGACAGGCCAGTCTACGGAAACGAGGAGGAGCTCGGCGCGGCCATCAAGAAGGCCGAGAAGGAGGGTGTCCCCAGAGAGAAGCTATTCGTCACTGCCAAGATCGCGGGCAACAAGAAGCAAGACACTGAAGAGGCCTTCACTCGCACGTTGAAGAAAATGGGTCTTGAATATGTCGACCTCTATCTGATCCACGCCCCTTTCTTTGCCGATTCCGAGGAGGAGCTCCAGCAGAAGTGGGCTGACTTCGAGGCTATCAAAGAATCTGGCCGAGCAAAGTCAATCGGCGTCAGCAACTTTTTGCAGTCGGATCTCGAGGTAATCTTGAAGACCGCCAAGACCCCGCCCGCCATCAACCAGATTGAATTCCACCCCCACTTGCAACACGGCGACTTGCTGGACTTCCACCGCAAGAACAACATCGCCGTAGCGGTCTATGCACCCCTGACCCCGATCACCTCTGACGTCGACAGTCCTGTCCGGACCATCTGGGCCAACTTGTCAAAGAAGTATGGTGTCAGTGAGTCTGTAATTGGACTCAGATGGTGCCTAGACCAAGGCCTCGTGACTGTCACGACCTCGTCGAAGGAGGATAGATTGCAGAGTTATCTGAACCATCTGCCTGCCATCAAGTTGACGCCCAGAGAGGTAACCGAGATTGCAGAGGCTGGCAAGTCAAAGCATGTCCGAGGATTCTGGCAGGACAAGTTCGACCCGGAGGACACTCGCTAAGCACGCAAGTCAAAAGCTTTGCTGAAGGTCTGTTGGTTCGAGACTCTCTTTCCAGAAGACCGATTCTATAGTATTAGGGCCAATAAATTTAATGAATAATTGAACTTGTCTTGTCTCGATAGCCGCGAGAAAGGATTGCCCGTCTGCAGACAGCTGCGGCCAATTCAATCTCACTTGTGGGGAACAGGTAGCGTACTCTGTACTGTCAAGGGAGCTTCGAACACTCCGTTATAGCGTGTGGCGATCTAGCTGTTCATTTGCACTCTGTTGCCACTCGTCTTCTCGACCTCATAGTTCATCGTCCGACTCCGTCTCGCTATCAACAGGCGGCGGAGGGGCTTTAACAGCAGCTTGCTTCTTTCTGGCAAAGGGTAACTCGCGCTTGGGCGGCGGAACGTCCTTGGCTGCTGGTTTGAGAGTTTCCTTGACTGGAGCCGGTTGCTTGGAAGGAGCTCCCTTGGCTGGCGGGACAGCTGCCGGCTCCTCATCTTCGTCTTCGCTGGCAGTCGCGTCATCGTCTTCAGTCGTATTCTGCTCTTGATCAGACAATTCGGCTGAGCGTTTTGCATTGGCATCGAGGTCCATTCTCTCGAATTCCTCGGAAGTAGAATCGTCCTCTTCAACGGGCGGCGGCGCAGCTTTTCTCTTCGTTGGCCTTGATTTACCCGCAGCTCTCCGGGCACCTGAGCCTCGTGAGGTTTGTTCCTGCGTTGGGTCCTCCTCCTTTACGGAAGGGGCCGCCGACTTCCCCGGAGCGGCGGCTGACGCCAAAAGTTTCTGCTGCTGACGAATTTTGACCTTCTTCTCATTTAACAGGTCGCGGAACTTCTCGAGGAGTTCCGTCTCATGGGCCTCTTTGGCCACCATTAGCTCGTCGAGGTGTGCTTTGAGCTCCCGCACGGATTCCTCGAGCTTACTGGCTTTAGCGGTCGCTGCAGCTAGAGCCTCCTTCGCATCGCCCGCTGTTTGTGCAGACAGGCCGCACCAGTCATACAGCTCTATCAACTCGCGCGGGCTGTGGCTTAACTCAATGGCACCGAGACGTTGCTAACGACCATCCGTCAGCCAGGCCCCCCGAAAACACGGCTGGTAATGAGTTTGAGCTATTGGGACTTACTGTAAATTCCTTCCCCTTTTTCCTGACAGTGAGAGTGACGGATGACTCGTCTTCGACTGAAGCGACGACCTCAACGTCGTCAAGCGGCTCTTGCCTGATGACGGCAGTCAGGATCGAGACCCATTCTTCGTCGGAGCAAGGGCTGCTCTTGACACGAAGGGAGACGATTTTGTCATGACGCACTGCAGAAAACAGTTTGTTAGCACGAGAATTCGCTACTGGCAAGGAACGAGTTCGACGCATGAAACAACGTCGGCCAAGACCCACCCAACCGGGCCGTGGTGATCGTCGGCCAGGGAGGGCGGGATGACGAGCGTGCAACTCACATGAGACGGCATAGGGCTCCACGCCATCGGTGCCCACCAATTTGACGTCCAAGGCCTTGGAACGAGTTGGCGTGACATGAACGATGACAAAAGCGCCTTCCTTATCCGACCGGGGGAACCGGAGAACGTGGCCGGATGCCATGGCTGTTGATGAGTGAAATAGATTGCCGTAGCTGGTTTCCGAAATGAAGTAATAATGAGGAAGGAGTAGGTGTATCCAACGACTCTGATCTAGCCTAACAGCTTCTCGCAAGTTTCGTCTCTTTCTTTCTGGCGTGAGGTCTCAGGGTCTGCGTGATTAAATTTTTGAGAGTACCCGTATGGAATGTCGACCCCGAGGACGGCAAGTGTTGCCGCTTGGACCGTGATACAGTTCCAAACTTGGTTGGTTGAGTGGTAGAAGTAGAAGGCAGGTAAGGTACCTAGGCAGGTGCAAGAGGTAAGACAGGCGGGGGAAGGTCAGACTGAGACAGCACTGGGCATTCGGAGAGAAATTCGGTGCCGGTGGGAGAGTAAACAGATCACAGAAAAGCTACGAGCTTGTTTTTGCCAAAGGGTTCAAACATGAAGGCATTCAATTGTCTGAGTCAACGGCTGGTTTTGAAGTTTCGAGGGTCTCGAGGGTCCTCGGGCTGGGAGCTAGGCAGCTGCGGCGCTCAGACAGGCAGACGATGATGATGGCTGGCTGTTGGTGCGTCGAGTGGCAGGCAGCCTGATACAAGCGCAAGTGCCGAACGTTCACGTTCTCGGTACCTTATGCAAGGTACAGAGCACCAAGGTCGTTACTGCTTTAGGTTTGTACAGGAACGGGACGGAGGGCACGGAGGATGGAACGCAGGAAGTGGCAAGTGCAAGCAAGCAGTGAACGGGAGCACGTAGGTTGTTTTGGTGTAAACTGTCAACAGCAGAGCAGGTGTAAACAAACAGCCCAGGAGCTCTCTGCCAGCAACCCACGAAGCAGTTCGCTACTCAATTTTTGACGATGCAAAAATCCCACGCCTGTATTCAAACGCATTTAACCTTAACAGACGAAAGAGCAATATCAGGAATAATATCGTCGAATGGTGAGTCAGATGGAGTGCACTTTGCAGCCCATGATTTGGTGCTCTTCGTTTTCTCATCAAATAAGTGCAGCGCCGTCCCCTGGTGGCCCTGTCGTCCCTGTCGTCCCTGTCGTCCCTGTCGTCCCTGTCGTCCCTGTCGTCCCTGTCGTCCCTGTCGTCCCTGTCGTCCCTGTCGTCCCTGTCGTCCCTGGTCGTCCCTGGACCGGCGGACAGCGGAGGGCAAGGCGCGCCTCGAACGCGTCAAAATCGTGCAGGTGCAACCAGCCCCGCATCCCCTGGCAGTTGCCCAATGAGTCCGCTGTGCGATGAGTGTGCTCACCGTCTGATGTCTCCACTAAATCACGTGGAACACCCTGGGAAAATTTATGATTCACTGCTGGGAGCCCTGGGGCCCCCGTTGTGAGTCCCGCGCAGCTCGTCCCGTCCTTCCCACCTGTTCTGCCCACTCTTCATTCTGTGCAGGTCATCCGGTGTCCCGCCACATGCTGCCCAGGAACCTGGGATCCGCACATGTTCATCCTCGCCGATTCCCCCATTCGAACACGCCGGGGATATCAGTGGCGAACAAAGCAGAGAGAGAAAACAACAAGCAGGATATCCGCCATGCTACAGCACAGTAACAGAGGAACAGAGGAGTCGGGTGTGAAGATCCTGAGATCATAAACGAGAAATATAAATGGAAGTGACCCGATTATTTCGTCGACACTGCCTGCAGTGTCTGCGTGTCCGCCCAGTTGTAGTGGGATCCCCCCAGCGCAACACCAGCCTCCCACCACCACATCATCCACCACGCACGCGGTGCTCCTGCATCCTGTGGTGTACGTATTCACCTGGGCTGCGCTCCCTCACCTCACCTCACACTGTACACCACCGCACTTGGCACTGGACAACACCACACCAGAACGCCAACACCACCACGCAACGCCCACTGTGCCTTCACCGGGGGCCACCCACCACCTCCTTCCACACCCTTTCCATTGCTGACTGGACCCGACCCAGCCCACCTCGCTTTGTTTGGCCCGGTCCATCGACCCCCAGCTTCCCAGCCATTTTTGCTTCACCCAAGTATCGTCCAACAAGGACGCAAATCCAGTCAATCCCCCCGACCTCACGACTGCCCCGATCTCCTTCTACTACTCCGCAACGTCACCCTTCGACGAGATACTGCACCCTGAACCGAACTACAGTACCCCTACGACCGTCCTCTTGGATCGACCTCCACTTGCTCTTGTCTGCATCTGTTTGCGTCTCTGGCAACATTCTACCAATAGCCGACACATCGCACATTCCCCAAAATTCCACGATACCGACACATAACAATCCACGACGCCATTGCTACGCCCTCCCACAAAAAGAAAACAGTTGCGCACCCCACGACGCTCCCCGACACACCACCTTTGCTTGCGACAACAACCGTTCCCCCCAGATTATGTCGACGAGCCGTAGCTGCTGTCATTGTTGACGATATGATCTTGCTTCATTGACGACCGGAACAGCGCTGTCGGGAGTCTTTCGGGGAACGACTCGGTCCCCTTTGAACTCAATTTCTCTTTGCGCGACTCAAAACATTTCAACTTATCCAAAATATGGAACCTTTACGCCTCAAGCCACGCCTGCCGGCGGTCGACCTCGACATCGAGGACTGGGACGATGACGACTTCCAAATCGAATCCGACGACCTTACTTTCCGGACCGCATCTACCGCCACCACCAATGCCCCGCCACGTCGTGATTCGGCGTCCTCCCACATGTCCTTTCGCTCCGAACTCGAATCGGTCATTGACGAGGAGACCCATGTACATGTTCCCGGCGACGATGAGAAGTCGACCATGGACGCTATAGCCGCAGCTACACAAGCCGGCATTCCCATACCCAAAAACGTACCTTCATCCGCTCTCATGGGCGGCACCATCAAGCGACTAGGAGGAAGAAAGATTAAGAAGATTATCCAGGACGATTGGGAGGACGACTTGGTGCTACCGGATTCAAAGGACGGACTTCGCATCAAGCCTCAGGACGCTTCTAAGTTCCCCGATATGCTCAGGCAAGTTAGCGGAGGCTCCAGCCAAACCAGCCCGACGAAGCCTATGAAGACCCCTCTTGCTCCGTCATTATTGGACCGAAGAGAGTCGACCGACCGCAGAGAGTCAACTGAATCGAGGACGAGCACATTATCGGGTGCTATTAACTTGGACAAGTTCCGAGACAACGACGATGATGATGACTTCTTCGGCGATGGATCGGAGACCATCAAAGTGTCGAAGACACGGCCTCCGAAACCTATCTCACTTATCACTCCCCCAACGCCTTCCAAGGGCAATGTGAAGCCTTTGGACGACGACTTCGAGAATGACTTTGAGCTGCCTTCTGATGGTAAGCTGAAGCTTTCTACTCGCAAGGACATTCCGAAGACACCATCGAATCAGGCAGATGACTTGGACTGGGGCGAGGGCAGCCTCGGTACTCGTTATGGGGGCACTCGACGAGACGCACGCTCTAATAGAAGCTCGTCCGTCTCGGCTATGAGCCCCAGCGTATCAAGTTCGTTCACCGCTGAGAGCGAGGATGAAACGTTTGAGGGACTCGTGCTGCCAACTGGCCCTGTCAACTTCGAGGAGAGGCTGAAGAGGAGAAAGCTCAGTCGCTCGCCTGCCCGACCGGTTGAAGAAGAGCCACCGAACCTCAAGACGCCAAAAGCTGAGGTGGAGGGCGAAGATCTGCTGGATGGCCTTGATGTCGGCGACGGCGATGTGTTCAACCCCGGCAAGCTCACACTTCACCGTAACATTCGCCTCAACAACAATCGACCACCAAGCCCAGCGCGCCCCAAGACGGCCGTCTCCCTCACGTTCTCGAGCAAGCCGACACCCTCACGATTGCCCCGGCCAAGTCATGAGAGGACAATGTCTGCACTGGAGCCTGTTTCTGAAAGCGGCGGACCCATCCTTTCTCGCTCACGGAGGTCTCAGTCTCGTCTCGGCCATCAATCTCAGTCCTCCGTCACCAGTGTTCACAGCATGCCTACTCCCACAACGCCGTCTCCTGCTCATTCTCTGCTTCCGGCCACTCCTCGCAGAAGAGAGCTTGGCTCTAGGACATCCACGACATCGCTGCGGAATGAGCCGACAACCACTCACTCGCAGTTGCTGAGATTCAAGAGGTCTTTACCAGCTATGAACATAAAGCCCTCCAGCTCACCTGCCAAGCCGACTGGCTCTCGTTTCGAGAGACCACCTTCGAGGACTGAGGGTAACCGCCAACAGTCAGGGGCGCGACCGAAAACGCCAGTCGAGAGGACCCGCCCTGCAACGGTGGAAAGCTTCGCTGCTCAGCAACGACGACCTTTCCTCCCTGCTGGGGCATCTCAATCCCAGTCGCAACACGTGACTACTAAAACTTCTCGCACCTTCCGACGCCATGATTCCGAGAATGCCTTGGACTTGCGGCCGACTTCGAGGGCATTTTCGAGGTCTACAATGCGCTCACCTAGTCCCAAGAGGCTCAATCGACATTCGGATCATATCACTCACGATGTCTTCTCCAGCTCTTCTTTCCGCAACATGACCAAGCCTCACCGGACCCGCAATTTCGGCGATGGTCATGAGCTGGATGCCTTCGACGATTTGCCTACCTCAGCTCAATCCGAGGCGAAATTCATCCGACAACCTGTCAAGGCGCCGCTTCGCAATAAGATTTACCAGAATGTGCAGACCGATCGGACTACCACACCCTCCCCGGCACCATTTTCATCCCCTGCGAGGTCTGATTACACGCCCCATTTTGCCCGTGATACCCAGGCTAGCCGAATTGCTCGGGAGACCTCGCTTGCCCAAAGAGCTCCATCAGGCCCACTGGCGCCTCTCACGTCTTCACGCGTCTCGCAACTGTCATCGTCGAGGAACACTTTCAGCCCCGGAATGCCGCAACCATCGGTACGATCAAAGAAGAAGAGGAACCCTCCTCAATTAAAACCTCATCTCATATCAAACATGAATAAAGAGAAGACACCACAACGTAAGTGCATCAACCAATCACTCTGTATTTCAAATGCTAACACCACCCCAGATCTCCAGGGCATGTTCTACAACCCTGACACTTTCCGTTGGGAAGGCAACGAAAATGTCCTGAACGCGTTCGACCCACCACCCGCGTCGTCACCTTCGACAGCATCACTACCACCTCACATGATGCGCGATAAGGAAGCCACTACCCCCAGACCGGCTTTAATTACGAATATTAGCCATACGAAGGGCGTGCAAGTTGTGGGGGGAATGGTTTTTGACCCACAGAACATGTGCTGGCTGAAGCTTGGTCCCCAGTCGAACCCCAAGTCTGAGATCCCCGATCCTATGGACGGCTTCAACGCCCTGGATGACGACGAAGACGTCTTCAAAGACATTCCAGACCTTGAAGACAACCAAGGCGACTCCAAGGAGCCTGGTCGTGTCAGCGAGGTCAAGGATGAATGGTTGGTCGGCGAAGAATTCGACGTCGGTCCAGAGTTCATCCGACGACAGAGAGAAGAGGAAGACAGGTGGAGAAAGAAGTGCGAGAAGTGGCTTGGTGTCGGCGAAAGAGATCGCGAAGCATGGCGGTGGGCGATTCGCGACATTCTACTATATCAGAGGACTGCCCAGTAGACCTCATCTCACGAACAGCATTCTACTTCGGGAGGCACTTGATGCTCTTTTTTTGTTTCACGCATATTACTTTAATACCCCCGGCTTCGGGTGGCGAACGCCGGGCGAGTTATGACGGAGGCGTTTTTTGGGAGAAGGTTACGACGAGCAGCATTTACGACGACGATTCCGGTGACGACATTCTGGATTCCTCTGTATAACATACTCTCCGAAAAAGGTTGTGGAAGGACTCACGACATACGGCTTTGATGACGAAAAGAGGTCTGGCAAGGGAACGCCGACCGCTACGAACAACAGGGAAGACACCACGGGAAGAAATGGCTCTGATACCATCCAGGCTTGGACTGGAAAGGGTTCATTATGAAGCTTGAGGGCTGGATTGCTTTTTATGTCGATTCTGTACAATGCTTCGATTGCATTTTCTTTGGTTCTTGTTTTTAAGGACAAGCAGAGGCCTTCCCACTTCCATCAAGGTGGTAGTTGGTTGGCTGGCACATGAGAGACGTTTGATGAAAAGCTTTGCTTAGACAATTTTGGTTTTTTTTGGAGTACTGGACTAGTAATATCCCATTTCTTTCATTCTGGGGCCGGCTGGGCATTGGTGATCGTGATGGCAAAATAGTCGAATGGTGATAGACGCATTTGGCCTCACGGCCAGGACGCGAGGCAACTTTAAGACGGCAAACTATCAAACGACACTTGATGCGACGGCAGCTTCGACAAAGGCTTTTTCAATCGGCTTATTGTTCATACAACTTTTTTTTATTTCCCGAGTCCCTTTTTGAGCTCCGACTCCCTAGTAATAGGTAATTATAATGCAACGACAACAAAACAGGTTCGACAACGACAACCCTTAGGCCTCGCCATGATGCTCTCTCGTCTACAACCACATAGAGATAACACTGAGAAATCATCCAACTTTCCTCCCCTATGCTAATAAACATTCCCGCTTCTTATTTTCCGCCCTTCTTGTCCTTCTTTTGCTTGGGACTCTTGGCCTTGGGGCTCTTTTCTGTTGTCGTGGGCTTCTCTTCCGTCTTCTCCTCGGTCTTCTTCTCCGCCTTCTTCTTGCTCTTCTCCTTCTCGGGCGTCTTCTCAGCGGGCTTCTCAACCTCGGCCTCGGAAGACTCGGCGGTCTCCGTCTTCTTTGTCTCCTCCTTCTTGCCGCCCTTCTTCTCCTTGGACAGGGCGTTGGGGTCGAGACCTCTCCTGCGCATGGCGTTACGCTTGGCCTTGTCGATGTACTCGGTGTCCTCCTCCTCGTCGAAGCCGCCAAAGTCGTCCTTCTTGCCGTCGGCGCCGCTCTCGTCGTCGGTGGTGATGGGCGTCTTGTCGACGGGCTCGCCGGCGACGGGGCCGGACCTGTCGCGGGAGGCGGCCTTGTCAGGCGTGGGGCCGATCTTCTGGAACTTTGCGACGAAGAAGCCGTCGACGTTATAGGTGTGCGGGTAGTAGCGGCGGGTGAGCTTCAGGGAGGGGTCGAACTTCTTGCCCATGAAGCTGGTGAAGCCCTCGCGTCCGAAGGGGAGGTTGGTGTCGACGAGCTTGACGTTGGGGCGGCGGGAGAGAGCGTATTGAACGACGGCCTCGCTGGAAGGTTGTTAGCATTTATCCTTGAGTAGTAGACTAGGACAAGGGCGAGACTTACTTCTCCTCGACCGTCACGGAACAGGTAGAGTAGACGATGTAACCGCCAGTCTTGCTGTGGTGGTTGACAGAGTCAATAGCGGCCAGGATAAGCTGCTTCTGCGTGTGCGGCAGCAGCATGAAATCCCTCTCAGTCTTGTTGGTCTTGACGCTGGCATCCTTGGCGATAACACCAGTACCAGAGCAAGGCGCATCGAGCAACACACGGTCGAAACCACCCATGGGCTTGGGGAACTCTCTGGCGTCGTAGTTGGAGACGACGACGTTGCGCGCACCCAGACGGTGGATGTTACCGATCAGACCCTTGGCACGCTGCTTGCTGGGATCGTTGGCGACGATGACACCGGTGTTCTTCATCATCGCGGCCATGTGCGTCGTCTTACCACCGGGAGCAGCGGCCATATCCAGACAGCGCTCGTTCTCCTGAGGCTCGAGGGCCATGACGGGGAGGAACGAAGAGGCGGCTTGCAGGATGTAGTGACCGGCGAGGTACTCGGGGGTGGCACCGAGGGGAACGTTGGACTCGAAGACTTGCAGACCGACCTTGGACCACTTGCCGACGGGCTCTAGGGTGACGCCACGGCCGATGAGGGCCTGGGCGAGATCGCGACGATGGGTGCGCAGGGTGTTTGTCCTGAGGACGACGGGACGGGCAGACTCGTTAGCCTCGAAGAAGGCGAAGGCCTCACGGGGCGAGAACAGGTTGAACAGCTTCTCGGCGAGGTACTCGGAGTAGCCGTAGTACGCGCAAATATCCTTGATGAGCTGGGAGGTGTACTCGGCGCGCGAGCGGCCCTCCTCGTGCAGGTTGGCGAAGTCGTCGAGCACTCTGATGTTCTCGGTGATTCTGGTTCTCAGAAGCTGCAGATCCGGGGCAAGCATGGTCTTAGTCTTGGAGACGAGCTCATCGTCCTCATCGTCCAGGATATGCGGCTTGTCGCCGTCGATGTTTGTCTGCAGACCCATCTCCTGCAGTTCGGCCTCCGCATCCTCCGCCTCCTCGGCAAGCTGCTTGTCAAGCCGCCTCGCGAGACCCTCAATGTTGGCCTTTGTGAGCTGCTCCTCGCCGTCCGAGTCCTCTTCGTCCTCCGAGAACATGTGCTTTCCGCCGCCGCCGCGCTCCTCGTCGGAGTCAACGACGGAATCGTCGTCCGATCCATCGATGAAGTCGTCGCCGAGCTTTTCCGCGTCCAGGTCGGAGAATTCGTCGGCCTCGTCGCTCATGTCGGAGCCGGCAGCGTTGAAGTCGCCAAGGTCGTCGTCGTCAGACATCTCCTCGTCCGAGTCGGGCTGGGCCTGCTTCTTTGACTTCTTCTTGGTGACCTTGGGCGCCATTTCGCCGGGAACCGCCACCTTGCCCCTCTTCACCTCCTTGGTCTTCGCGCCATTGGCCTTGGGCGCGGGCTTCGTCGTCCTCCTCTTCTTCGTCTCGGGGGCCTCGACGGCTTCGACAGGAATACCGGCCTTGCGCTTCAACTTTGCGTAGTGAGCCTCCGACAGGGGTTCGGGAGGGCCCTGCTTCTTCATGCGACGTCCGACACCCATTTTGACCGGTCAATTCGTGTCGAAACAGGGAGAAAAGGGAAATGGGTATATGGTGATGGAGGATGTACAACAGACACCGGCGGGACGGTCGCCAAAAAATTACTGCGCTAGAATGGTCCCTCCAAAACTTTTTTATCGAGCACGGGCCACCCGCCGATAAGATTGTGATCCCTATCGGGGTAGGTAAGCCACGCCGTCCAGAGCGCTCGTGCTCCACACCCCAGCTCCGCCCCTCCATCCATCCCTCCTTGCGTACCTATTCCTAGTCAGAGGAGACACCGGACGAAGCTCAAGGACGACACCAAGGACGACGACGCCCCAGGACGACGCCCGCTTTAACCTTCACCTCGCTTCCGCTATACATACGAATAGCTTAGAAGAAACCTTAACCGACGACCTCTCGATTTGATCGAACATCACTTCAGCGAAAACCCCCAACGCCCAAACGCAAACATGGCTGAAGTCGTCTTTGCCAGGCAGTTCCTGGCGACCTTGGAATCGCGGCCGGCCAAGCTGTCGGCGGATCATGTCGAGGATCCCAAGAACTTCCCTCCTCGCCCTCCTGTACGTTGCATTTATATTTGTCTGCACGTTGCGCGAGGCTAGCTAACTGTGTGCAGTACATCCTGCCCAAGATGCCCAAGGCGATGAGCAAGCCCACGAGCCTCGCACCCGGCCAAGAACGATCCGTCACCGTCGCTCTCAAGTCTCTCCGCAACCCGCCTTTGGATATCAAGCTGTCCTCTCAGTCGCTCAACACCTCGATCCTGGACATCAAGACGCAAGTCGAGTCGCAGTCGCGCATACCCGTGGACAAGATGAAGCTGCTGCACAACAAGAAGCCCGTACCGGACAGCAAGGTCTTGAAGGACTTGCTTGCGGAGGATCAGTCCACGGTGGAATTCTCGGTCATGGTCATTGGTGGAGCTGCGGCGGTCAAGCCGGCTGAGCCTGCCGCCCCCGTTGCGAACGACCCCGCGCAAGGAGATATCGGCGAGGCTGCGCTGGAGACGGTGGAGTTCTGGGACGATCTCAAAGGCTTCTTGCTGCAAAGACTCAAGGACGAGAAGAAGGCGGAGGAACTGTCGGCGCTGTGGCGCTCAAACTACCAGGCAACAAAATCATGACGTAGCATCACGGAAAGGGACTGAAGCATAGATAATGGTCTAATAAAGAAGTGATTCTGTCGTCGGGCAACAACAAGAATGCTCTGCATTCCAGCATGAGATGTTTTCCTATGGCAATGGGTTGGTATGACCAGGCGGGCAGCCAAGTCTGGAAATTTACTTGTCACGCCCCAAAAGAAACGCGGAGTGGAAAGCACTCAGACCCAGAAATCGTCAGGGGAGAAGGCGGGCTCTCCATATTCATCGTAAACTCTCCATGATCGTCGTCAGTCGTCCCGGAAGACTTGCGGCCGCCAAAGTGTATGTTCCTTCTCGCGTAAGGAAGGGGGGAATTTGGTAGAAAAATGGGAAATTTAACCAGCCATGCCCTTGCTGACGGTCTTGAGGATAGAGTCGTACTCGATGTCATCGGCGTCGTTGGCCTGGAGCTCGGTCGCAATGCCGGTCAGGGAGCGCTTGAGAGCCTCCTTGGAAGAGGCGTAGATCATCTTGGCCTGCACGGGTGTTAGCGACAACAGCAATTGATGTAAACCGCACGACAAGAACTGACCATGACACCGGCATCATCGGGGGACCAGGCAAGGAAGGTGATCTTGTTGCTGTTCTCGGGTTAGCTCCTGATGCTTCCAAGACGGTTGGTGCGGGGCTGCATACCGCTCACCCTCGCCAGAGGCAAGGCTGTACTCGAAGTCGTAGACGGCGTAACGGGGGCCCTTGCCAACAGCACCCTGATGCAAAGTTAACATTGGCCTCTAGCTTCACAACGAGAGGTAAAGAGGGATTGCGTACGCTCTTGGTCTTGGAGGTGGCGTTGATCAGCTTCTCGCGGAAGTTCTCCCAGTCCTTATCGGCCGAAGCCTCCTCAACGACGATCTCCTTGTTGTCATCCGACAGCTTGTAGATGATGTACTTGTACTTCTTGGAGAGCTTAAGGTCGTTGTAGGCCGTTATGCACTCCTGCGAGACGGTCGCTCTGGTGGGGGAAGTCGGGTTAGCACTGCGGCGGTTCTTCGCGGGAATGGGGATGGAGCCAGCTTGGCCTGCTCCGCCTCGGGTGGGATCGTCATCGAACGAGCGGTGTTCAATCGCCCGTCAAATGTCGTCGGCGCGGGAGGTGAGGCTCTGCGGAAAGGTGAAAACGAACCCGGATTGAGACTGCGCCGGTGGTTAGATTGGTGTTGAGGTAGACGGCTGATCCTTGGAAGCTTTTAGTACTCACCATGATGCTGGTTTATGGCGGGGGTGTGGCTAGGACAGAAGGCGGGAAAGTGGGCTGAGAGCAGATTAGCAGGAGCAAAAAAAGGGACAGTAAATTGGATATAGGCAATTATAAAATGCTTGCAGAGGGGAGGGAGGAAATGGAAGCCTACATGAGATCAAGTGGTCCGGCCGTGGGGAGGATGCTGCACTTCGGATGGTGGTGGTGGCAGGAAAGGCAACAGCTTGCGTCGGGTTGGTGAGGTATCTTGGACAGAACCGGAGTGAGTTGGGTCACCGTGGAGGGGAAGCGGGCGAGAAAAACACCCGCATGGTGGGGTTGTTGTCCCGGTGAGATTGGAGCACAGCACGTGACACTGCGTCAGCCACAGAGCGTTGACGAATCACCCCCAGGCGGTAGTCAAGAGCTGATTTGGTGGGATGGAGCCCAGAAGCAGGGCAATTGAGGCCATACGCCTCTGTTTCTCTCTCTCTCAGTGTAGCTCTGCAGCAGGTTGCCAGATAAAAATCACAGAGGCATGATGATGGGTGCCTGCTCCCCGCCGCCGCCCGTGAGCTTGACGTGGGCGTTTCAATGGCTGCCTCGAGGCACCTGTCAGCTCCAGGCCAAAAGAAGCTTTACCGACAACCTAAGTCAACTAAAGTACCTAGTGGCTGTGGGCTGTTCACCCACTGTAGAGCACCTACCGAGGTAGCTTCAGGCCTCCTTATCAGTTGACAGACGTCACCGTGCACTCTTCACAATGCACGAGAATGGATCAATGTCTTTGTTGTCTCGCTTGGGCTTTGGCTTTGGCTAGCTTGGTTTCTTTAAGAGGCTGCCTTCCTGGTCTGCGCAGCTATACGACCTGTGTTCTGACTTAATCTTCCTACTGAGGGTGATAATAGTAAAGATAAATATAGACAACAGTAGTAGAAGTAATGACAGCAGTAGATGCGACGACGACAGCTACAACAACTACTACGACGACGATGAAGACGACGACGACGTCGCTCTAGCACAGGAAATTCCAGGTCTGATTTTTTTATCTTTAACTGATTTGGTTTCTTCATGCAACATAACTTGCTAGTGCTATTGTACATACAGATCTCTTCAATCCCCTCGGGGAATCTCTGTAGAAAGGGGTAAAGAGGGGAGATTAGTACAAAGGGCCGCAGTTATCCATCCTTTTTAAATAGTAACACCGTGCCATGCCCCCTTTTGAGTTTTAATACAAGATGTGGTTATCATTTACTTTTTTACATCATTCCACCCATGCCGCCCATGCCGCCCATACCTCCCATACCGCCCATACCACCGGCGGCAGGGCCCTTCTCCTCAGGAGCCTCAACGATGGCGACCTCAGTGGTGCCGAGCAGGGAGGCAACACCGCTGGCGTCAACGAGACCGGTGCGGACGACCTTGAAGGGGTCGAGGATACCGGCAGCAATCATGTCGACGTACTCGCCCTTGGCGCTGTCGAAGCCCTTGTTGAACTCGTTGGCGAACTCGTCGGTGAGCTTACCAACGATGACAGAGCCCTCAAGACCGGCGTTCTCGACGATGCTGCGGGCGGGGCGGGTGATGGCGTTCTTGACGATGCTGACACCGAGCTGCTGGTCGAAGTTGGCGGTCTTGACGTCCTTCAGGGCCAGGGCAGAGGCCTTGATGAGGGCGGTACCACCACCGGGCAGGATACCCTCCTCAACGGCGGCGCGGGTGGCGTTCAGGGCATCGACGAAGCGGTCCTTCTTCTCACCGACCTCGACCTCGGAGGAGCCACCGACCTTGATGACGGCGACACCACCAGAGAGCTTGGCCAGACGCTCCTGAAGCTTCTCCTTCTCGTACTCGGAGGTGGTAGGGTCGTTCATGACACCACGGATCTGCTCGCAGCGCTGAGCAATGGAGTCCTTGCCACCCTCGCCGTTCAGGAAGATGGTGTCCTCCTTGGTAATGGTGATGGAGCCAGTGGAGCCGAGCATGTCGGGGGTGGCCTTCTCGAGCTTGATGTCAAGCTCGTCGGTGAAGACCGTGCCGTTGGTGAGGACAGCTAAGTCACCGAGGATGGACTTGCGGTTGTCACCGAAGCCGGGGGCCTTGACAGCGGCAACCTGGAGCTGGCCACGGAGCTTGTTGAGAATGCAGACGGCGAGAGCCTCACCCTCAATGTCCTCAGCAATGATGACGAGAGGGCGGCGCATCTGGGTGGAGGCCTCAAGAGCGGGGATGATATCCTGGACGGCGGAGATCTTCTTCTCGGAGAGGAGGATCAGGGGCTTCTCGAACTCGACCTTCTGGGACTTGGCATCGGTGATGAAGTAGGGGGAGACGAAACCACGGTCGAAGCGCATACCCTCGGTGACCTCGAGCTCGTCGACCAGAGTCTTGCCCTCCTTGACGGTGATGACACCCTCCTTGCCGACCTTCTCCATGGCGTTGGCAATCATGCGGCCGAGAGCCTGGTCACCGTTGGCAGAGATAGTGGCGACCTGAGCAATCTCCTCGCTGGTAGTGATATCTCTCTTGTTCTTCTGGAGGTACTCGACGACGGCATCGACGGCGGCCTGGATACCACGGCGCAGGTCCATAGGGTTGCAGCCAGCGGCGACGTTCTTGACGGTCTCGGAGAAGATGGCGCGGGCGAGGACAGTAGCGGTCGTGGTACCGTCACCGGCGGTCTCGTTGGTCTTGGAGGCGACATCCTGGAGGAGTCTGGCACCGAGGTTCTCGAACTTGTCCTTCAAGGTGATGGCCTTGGCGACAGTTACACCGTCTGCACCCACAGTCAGCTTGACGTTCCTTCTGTAGGTTCATGGAGCTGTATCGTACCCTTTGTGATCTTGGGGGAGCCATAGCTTGACTCAATGAGAACGTTACGACCCTTGGGACCAAGTGTCGTGGCAACGGCCTTGGCCAGAGTCTCAACACCAGCCAGCAGAGAAGCGCGGCCCTCGACACCGAACTTGAGCTCCTACAGGGCGAGTCAGTATACCTTGTCCAATATCATTGGCACTACTACGAGGCATATAAACGTACCTTGTGGGCAAAGCGAAGCTGTTGGCCCAGGCCGGCGCCGGGGCGGAACTTGGTAGCGGCGGAGGAAGCGATGGACGCTCTGGCGCGGGATGTAAGAGCGCGCTGCATCTTGAATCTTATTATGAGGGTATCTAGATAAGAGAAAAAAAATACAGAACTAGGGATTGAATCGTATCGCCGTTTGGAAGCGCAGAGTTTCGCTCACAAGGAGTTCGAGGAGGAGAAAAAGTTCAGTGACGATAGAATTGGAGAAGCTTCCTGCTGCGCCGGCTCCAAAAATTTATCTCGGACGTTCGGCTAAACCAGGCCCCATTGGTGTGCCATGACCAAAACGGACTAGCGCCACCTTGTGCATTTCCACCGTCTTCCAATGGCATCTGTCCCATTCTCACATCCGCACATGGTATTGTCCTGCGAACAATGCCGATTTATTGACATGGGTTCTAGCTGTTGGTTAGGAATAGCTGCATGGGGTTCGGCGACTCCTATCATCGACACTCCGATATCCTCTTCAAGCTTAAGTTGATCGAACACCGTATTTTATCTTGCGGGTCTCTGTCGCATCCAATTGTCTCGCATTGTCGACTGTTTCTTTTCATAGATGTTTATTTACTTCTGCCCAGTATTGCTCCAACTTTACTGTACTTGAAACATTGGCGAGCGAGTGCCGTGATGCGCCCCTCTCGAGATGTCAGCCGCATCGTCACTTGATTGGAGTCAACCGCAGGTATGTATGATTCGGTTAGACATGAGCATTGGATAGATAGATACCCATAGATTCTCCTATTTCTCTGACATGGGCTTCGGATGGATACATAAGTAGAGACAATCGAGGAATAAGTTCTCGATTCCCATCTCATCAGCGCTATTGTGTCTTTCATCCAGCTTTGCTCAATTTCCATTGCCAATTCCTTTGCATCGTAATTGATAGTTCCGAAATACCCTCTTAGCCAGCCGAAATGAAATTCTCTCTCCTTGCCGTTATCGCCGCATCCGCATCTGTTGCGCAGAGCGCAATCACTTGGACGTTGGACAAGGCAGCAAACCCTACATCCGACCAAACCGAGGCCTACGAAAAAATCGAAGCCGCAATGGAAGCCGCTGTTGCGCGGCACGCAAAGTTGGGCACCGCAAGCAAGTCCGTCAAGGTCTACTACACGCCGGGCGTGCCGACGGCGGAAGCGGGCGTCAGCGGTGACCTCAGATTCGGTTCAGACCGCGCCTTCATGGACGAGCGGACGGCCCTCCATGAAATTTCGCACACGCTTGGCGTCGGCCAAACTACGGCCTTCAACTCCCTGTGCTCCTCCGGCGACTGGAAGACGGCTTTGCCTCTGTTGAAGTCCTGGGACGGCGACGACGCGAAGATCAGTTGCGGCGGCCAACACTTCTGGCCGTATGGCCTCAACTACGACAATGAATGGAGCGAGACAAACGCGGTTCGCCACGTTCAGATTATCAATGCCATGATTGCCGATGGCATGTAAGCCTGGGATTTGTTCTTTAGTGTATTGTTCATACTGTAAATATTTGCTGGATTGGGTCGATACGTACATTACCCCTCGTGTGCATATCTTGCTATATCTGAAAGCGTTCGATTGGCGATGGAGACATCCGGAGCGGGTGACAACGCGATTGAAGGATGAGGCTCTTGCATATACACGGGACGTAGATACTTTCAGGGTTTTATTCTCGCGGAATGCAATAGTTTATCTCCCCATATCTTTGGTGACTGGCTCACGGCAACAAGAACACTGCTAATTATAGGAGAAAAGTGAATTAATCGAGAACTTGCTAATTGTGAAGTCTGTCTTCACGGGTATAAGTACTGTTTCCTTTGCTCATGAAACCCAAACGCATTTGTCCTGTGCTGCTATCGTCGTGACTCGACACCTTTTCACTCGTGGCTCATGAAGTTCAGTTGCAGAACTTGTGTTCATCTCCCGGCAGCTGATCACTGAAAAAAGTTTCGTAATCGACCACGCCCTGTCCTTCGCCATCGTTCTCGACAGCTTCCTCTGCCCGTGTCAGATTGGGGGCGCCAACCGTCGTGCTGGGTTGCGAAGAGAACTGGTGTGCACCAGGAAGCTCTGCGTAGCTACTGAATGGCTGTGATCCCACCGCCGGCTCCATGTTGAAGCTATGGTCGGGGGCAAAAGGAAACCCCATCTGGAGTGCTCCGAGCTCGGGAATTCCCATCTGGGGAAACCCTCCTATGGGGGGAAATCCTCCTTGGGTAGCGTAAGACGGCTGCTGGAATGCTCCCTGTTGCCAGTAGTCGTCGAACGAGGGGCCCGTGGAGGTATGCTAGCCATCGTCAGCAATGGAAATCAAAATGAGAGCAGATGACTTACCTGGGTCAGAGCGTCGGCGGCGTCTTCCTCTTCTTCCATCGTGACCGTCTGCTGATCGACGGGAAACTTATCCGGCTCTTCGATGTCTTCGTCCCAGGAGACAGCCCGCGGTTCGCCTGTGTCCTCATCAAGGACAACTCCCCGGGTGTCTCGGTTGTCAAACCGTCTGAGGTTCCCTCGAGGGGGGACAACTCGTCCCTCCTCGAGGTGTCGCTTAGGTATCTTCGCGACATATTGCTTGGCCGCATTGCCAGTGAGATTGGGCTGGAATCTATGGGCGGCCTCGTCCCATGGCAACTCTATGCCCTTCTTCTCGCATTCAAAGGCGAGTGCGAGCAAGAACTTCTCGGCAGCCGGCTGACCTGTATTAATCACTGTTAGCCGACATAGCTGAAGACGTATCGAGGCTGGAGTCTTACGGTTCCATTGCACCAGCTTGCGGCCGGTGAATCGGCCGTTAGCCTTCTTCTGCTCCTCAGAGGGCAGTTGATGGGTCGCAGGTCGCCGGGGAGGAGGAGGGGGACGGTTGGTGGCCTTTTTATCAACCCCCGAGTCTTTGTTCGACTTGGCTATGGCCGGAATCTTAGCCTTCTCCAAAGGCTCGTTCTGACTGTACTTGTTGTTGGCGCGGTGACTGTCAACGGCAGAGCGCGAATTGACCGCAGCCTTTGAGACAGGCTTTCCAGGAGCCATCTCTGTAATTGTGGATTATTAGCCCAGAGATTATCACATGTGAGATGAAAGGAGACGTCGTGCAAGCAAAGGTGAATTTTCTCTCACTCATCCAAGCCTGGATGAGGTGAAAGAGATTTTTTCGCATGAGGGTGAAGGCTAGGAAAGTGAAAGAAGCATCCCAAAGTGAGATTAAAGGGCGTTAAGGTGAAATGGAAGCCTTGAAGTGAGATCAAGGTGAGAAAGAAGTTGAGAGTACTTACTTGCGATATTGAGGCGTGATATAGCTAACGAGCTTCTGTGTTGTGGTTTTGAAGTCTGGTTTCGCAAACTTCAGTGTTATGGGTGATGGGTTGAAGAGAAAGTTCGTGATCCCACAGGTGAGTTGGGGTTTTGTGGGTTGAGAAGGATGGAAAATTCTGCTTGGGAAGGTATGAGGTGGTAGCTGGGGAGATTCAGGAAGGCACGTTGGGTTTTCTGAGCGTTGCTTCCGTCGTGACTGCCGTTTTTTTCTGGATAGCAGATGACAGGTCGAATTTGGGCAAGTACATTCCCGAGGAGACTCCTTCCCAAAAAGCCAGTGATGAGGAATAGAGACGGTGGCGCCGAGAGACGGCGAGAGACGGCCGCCAGAGATGATGGACGAGGATCAAGTATACGCAAAAGGCAGCAGCAGGGAAGGCAGAGAAAACAGACACGCAGATTTTGAAAAATCCGTTCGAGTCTGCTGAAAGAGCCAGCTGGCCTGCTTCAGGGGCCTCCCGAAAGTCGCTTCTGGTTGATGTAATGCGCAGACCTGCGAGGTATGTGCCGGGAGGCGGTTGTCTGCGATCAAGAAGGAAACAATGGCGGTGACAGCCGTAATCGAGATCATAGTGATTGCGAAGCAGGTGTTCATGGCCGTGATATGAGGACGAAGAAGTCGAAGACACATGCAACGACGTCGCCAAGTGCTCCTCGATCTCTGCCCATCGCCCGTCAACGAACAAGACCGGAGGTGAGCACACAGGCATCTCAGGAGCAAGGCCATGCTCTCATGGAAATCATATCTACGGTGTTACTGCGGTTTACGTCTCCGGGAGGTCCTCGCGATGTCATGGTGCTCAAAGCTGGTGTGGGATGAAATTATTAATCTCGTATCGAGAGGGTAGAGCTGCCAATGATCCACAAAACCAATGTCCTCCCATCATGTCTGTGATCGTTCCAAAGCGTGGTGATCAGATGTATTTTTATCCGCCGCAGATCTGCCTCCCCGAGCAGCCGGTGTTGAAACTCAGGCCAATATCCCTTCCTTCCGACTTTTCCCTGTCTTGAAGCCACATGTCCTGGTGATTCTTACGATAAACCTCCGTAACCTTGAAGCGGATTGCGCCCGCCCCGTTTCTAACCTCTTGTCGTCCTGTTGAATGATGTCTTGATTTGTTTCCTGGGTGGTGTGATAATACACTGGAAGAGGAGTGGTGGGTGTCGGTGGGAAATGTATCGTGGCAGCATTCCTGATATAGCTGGGCGGCGCTTCTGTGGCGGCGTGATGTTGTTGCGGAAAGGCATTCTGATGTGATGCGTTCGCTAGTTGCTGTTGAACTGCCGCTTGCGCTGCTGCGGCGATGATGTTGGGCAAGTTTGCCGTCAATTGGTGTAAGTCGGACGTGACAGTGTTCAAAGATGTGTTGAGCATGTTCAGCGAGCTGTCAAATGTGCTGCTTTGAGTCGACAGCATGGTGTTGAGGGTGCCGAGTTGTGATGTCATGGCGTTGCTCATCGCATTTGTCGAAGCATTCATTGCTTCTGCTGAAGCTCCAACGGCTTTGCTCATGTTGTTTTGAAGATTTGTCAAGACGGTGTTGAGTGTGTTGACTTGAGCACTCATTGTGTTGTTGACGGCGCTGTTGAGATCAGAAAGACCGTTGAGCTGTGCTGTCATTGCTCCATCAAAACCGCTGAGCTGGTTGTCGAAGCGACTGATGTTGCCTTCCATGCGAGTGGCGTTCATGCGCAGGGGATTGGCGACGTCAAGCAGCGTCCGCTCGGCGATCTGCATGAACTCCTCCGCGATGGCGTCCAGGTCGGCTTGTGTAGGGTTGCTGATGCCCTTGCGCTGCAGTGCCGCCTGCGTAATTTCCAGCATTCGAGCTTCCTTGTTGATTGAGCCCATCCAACTTTGAACTCGGTTGTCCATCTCTTCCAGTTTGGTTGAGCCTCCTTCGGCTTCATCGCGACTGTTGATGCGCCGCGCGATTTCGATTCTAAGTAGGTTGTATTGTTTGGGTGGAGGGTTGGAGGGGTTGCCGCGGACATCGCGTAGTTGCTGAAGAAGCCTGTGGTCTTCGACAATTGTGCGAGGATCTTCGGGAGATGCTGTTGTCTTGGGAAACTCCCCTGTCTTTCGGGCATGTATCAATTCATCGCGCCATGTACGCAAATGACCGGGAGAGTAGATCTTGTTGTCGACGACGATGTGATTGGGGTGATTTGGCATGATGCCGATGGAATTTGTTGAGTTGGTAAAATGCTTTCCGCCATCTGGCCCGGAATCAGGAAAAGACATTTCGGTGTCGACAGACGACGCAGGCGAATCCGGGTCTGAAAAAATAGTGCTCGTAGAAGTAGCAGACCGCGGAGTCGAAGTATCCGATGAGGAATCCCAATCTTGGTCAATTTCCACGCCAGGCGCGCCAGCAGAGTCATCCATTGCAATTGCAGTGTGTAAAAGTAGAAAAAGAAGTTTGTCGGAGGGAAGATTGTGTCGTTGGAGTAAGAAGTAGCTCGGGTCGCCTCAATCTGCCGAAAATGTCAGTAGCGCTTCCCGACAGCCCACGATGCAAGCGCGGAGGTGCAGATGTGAGGTTTTCGCGGCGAGACTTACCAATTGGTCCGATATTTGGAGTTTTCTGATGCGGAAGCGTCGACCTTTGAGTGCTTGATTTGAAAAGAAGACGAACGGCGGGTTGTTGGTGCGAAGATTGGGGTGCCTCTCGAGGCAATTGGGAGGGAAGAGACCGGGTGGGTTGAGAAGGGAAGAAATTTTCGGAGGCGGCTTGCTTGGGAATTTTGGGCATATGGGCGGCAGGGCAGGACAGCTGGGGGAGGAAAGTCGCCTGTAAGTGGGCTGGACTGGCACCGTAGTGTGGTCGGGAGGAAGATGATGGCAGGAGCCCAGGTCTGATGGGAAGGTGCAGTTGGAAAGTCCAGAGCGAAGGTGTGGGGCAGCTTGTCGGTCTGATGGTGTGAAAAAAACCAGCTAGCGTGGAGGCAGATGAAATTCTTTTCAGGGAAGGAGAGGGAAACAAGGTGAGTTGGGATCGCACCTGCTTCACATAGATCTGACTGTCACCCTTTGCCAAGACCCTTTTGTCCTGGAAGCTTTGGGACCTGAGGAATAGCTGGCTTGGATTATTCGATACAATAGTCGACTTTGAGCAGAGAATGACTGCTAATTGCTAGATCGATTGCGTCCTCCAGGAGGTGCTTGAAGACGTTACCATCGAGTCACTGTACTTATTCCCCCCAGAAGATGTTTTGTAGTCTTCGATGCAATTATCTTGCAGTAAATCTGCCCTTATGCTGTTTGCCAGAACCCATCAAAAGGGCTATGAGGCTCTTTGCGAGATTCTCCCTGGCTGGCGCTACAACCACGAGTTCGTCCCAACCAAGGCTGGACAGGCCGGCCCTTTTCTACTTCATGACCCGGGAATTTCCCCCAGTATATCACTTGCATTGTTATATCTTTGATTCAGATCAATAGCGCATTGTCCATGCATGAATCAGCGTCGCCTTGAAAGAAGCAGGCTCTTACACAGGCCCATGTAGTCTAATTTAGCATCGCCGGTCTTTGGGACAAGACGCCACATCCCTGCTCCCCGCAGCCAAGATCTACCCCACCTGCCCGATCTGGCCGGTACATCTGCGCAAGGTACTGCCAACGGCTGCGCATATTACAAGTCTTGGTGGAATTAAATGAAGTCACGGAAATGAGGCAAAGGATGGTGAAGTCAAGCTTGTATATTTCCCTATCCTCCGCAGTGTCTCCCGGCCCAAGTGCGATACAACCTCCCCACCCAGTGACAAGAATCTGGAGATCAAACCAAGGTCACCCTCGTCAAATTACCCAGCTGCGCCTCTGCAAACAACCCAGTTAGCTTCATCTCCCGAGGAAACGAGGGGGAAAACTTACATGTGTCAACCAAATGAGCCGCATTCCCATCTCCATGTGTGCACGTTTCTTGCCACGGTTGTAATGACGCATCTGGCAGCATGAATCCCCAACCATGGTGGCAAAATGGCGCCTGAGGTAGGTTAAACTTGAAATTGGTCGTCGCCGGCGGCAGCATCTGTATCGAAGAGTCGGTGTTAGTATCACTCGCGACGGAAACGGATTGGGGACCTCGGCATTCGGCGGTATCGTGGACGGGGCAACCGGTCGTCTTCTCTACCACGTAGAGAAGTTGCAAGTCGTCGTCGTCGCGATCGCGGCCTCGGGGGTTTTCGTAGTACGAACCGGTAGCGGCGGAAGCGGAGTGGGACTCCTCCTTCTTGACCTTGAACTCCTCTTGGTCCTCCTCATCGTCTTCGTCATTGTAGGACGAGACAGCGGGGTGCGAGGCAGCAAGCTTGGCGCGCTTGGTGTTGGTGCTGGGCGAAGCCGCGGCGGCGGTGCGCTTTCCGGCAGACTTGGTCTTCGGGGTTGCCTTGGTGGCGCTTTTGGCGGGAGTCTTCGGGGTTCCTCCGGTGGGAGTCTGGGCAGGAGACGCGGTGCTAGCAGGTCCGGGCTTGGCCAGATCACTAGCCTTCATGCCATGCTGCTGAAGCAGGCGAGAGAATCGCTTGGCACTAGATGCTATTGGTCAGTTTCTGAAGGCATGGGGACGTTTGGAAAGCTACTCACGCTGCACCCTTCGAGGCGATGTTGCACTCAGTGGCAACGGCTTCAAAGTCGACCTGTGGTGGTCAGTTTGTGTGCACCTCCAGGTTTGCGGGGCTCTTACTCTTCCGTTGTTGGAAAAGCGGATGCAGTTCACGAGGAACTTCACCTGGCCCTCAGCATCCGTGCCGACAGGAGTAGACATGATGACTTGTATGAGTGATGGATGATGAGGTGACTTCGTAAGTGTGTGGCCTTGGCTGAGAGTAGAGTAAAGCTACCGAGTGCGTTAGAATGAGCGTGTGTTTGTTCTTTGGCAGAAGTTGAGGTGAGATGGAGTGTGACGGTGGTGCGATGTTGCCGATGGAATGTAAGTGAGGTATGAGAAAATCTTGGGGACGTGGGAGCTGGTCGAGGAAGGCAGTCGCTAGGTGGGCTCGGGAGGCAAATGAGAGAAACCAGGCAGGGCAGGAAGAGAGGACGGTGGACAGCGTCTAGATAATTTAGGCGACCAGAAACAGCCTACTTGTGGCAGGAGATTGTGTGTGAGAAAAGGCAGGATGCTGGCAGCAGGCCTTGGGAAAATGTCCACTCACCACAACTGAAGTAGGATGAAAATAGAAAACTAAACTGATAAGAAGTTAAGTATCGGGTTCATGGGAATTGAGGCTGGAAAAAAAATCTACTCACGATTATTTTGATAGACTGGTCCAGGTGTAGGTGTTGGAGGAGGTGTTCGCTTCGATATCGCAGGGCAGAAAAGTCTGTTCAGGAACAAAAGCTGCCTGACGTTTCACTTCGAGTTTGGGTAAGTAGTATAGACCACTGTCTCTGAATTGTCAGGCAGGCTCTTCCTTCCCTCTCAGTGGTTCTGGGAAGCTGCGTTTATTGCCGGTGCTCAACCTCGTAAGCTGCTAGTCTGACCTTGGCATAACAGCACAAGCATCCAGTCCAAAACATATCAGCAATGTAGCACACAGGTACTTGGGTATTTAAGGATCTAAGCCCAACGTGGGCGCGCTACAGCTTCAAATGTTAAAGGGGAGGACCAGACATAACCACTGAAAGAGCTTGCCATCCCTTTTTAGCCTTGCTCTCGATTTGCAAGAGGCTGAACAAAAGAGAAGAAACAGAATGCATCAAATTCATTCAGCACATAAGGGAAGCAATTGATAACCATCACCAAAGAATAACTGGGATTTCTTGTGAAAGACCTCATTTCGACAACCTGGTTCTTTCCAGAACCCACTGTGCAAGTGCAGCCTAGCTGGCGATACTGGTTTAGAGAGTGTGTCAACACCCAAAAATGAAACAAACATCACGAAATTACTGAAGTTTAGAGCAAGAGCAGATCATCCTTTTCGTTTTCCTAGCTAGCTGCCAAAACTGATTTGATCCTGCTCAATTCTTGATATCCACCATCTGCATAGGAATTCCTTGCATATTGCCTTTCGTTCGTATCACGAAAAAGTCTCACGATAAGCCGAAGAGTGCCCTCCTACTCGCTGTCGCTGCCGTTGCCATTCTTCAGGAACTCATCTTGGGCGGCGCTCTTGCCGTCGGAGTCGGACTCGAGCTTGGAGGAGATGTCCTCATCTCCATCGGATTCCTCGATGTTCTTCTTGGTCTAGGAAATTCCTGATCAGTATAATCCGGTGTAGTGAGAAGCGACAATTGATTCCACGTACCTTCTTTCGGGCGATGCCCTTCTTCTGAGGGGTTGCCTTCTTAGCAACCTTCCCGGTGTTCTTGGGCGCAAGGGGGCCCTTCGCAGGGGAGCCGCCGCCGCCGCCTGCACCAGCTGCGTTGGTGCCCCAATTGTGGCGCTTTCCCAGGACGCGGAAACGCTCCTTGGCCGACTTCGCAGTCATACCCAAGTCAGTGGCGACCTTGTCCCAGTCGATATCCGGGCGAGAGTTCATGTGGTCGAACATGGCTTTCAGGAAGCGGGTCTCGGTCTCGCTGAGAGCGGTGGCGCTGCCCTCGGCGTCGGCATCCTTCTTGGGAGGCATAGTGTGTTCTGGTCTGACGCTGTATAAGTCTGGATTCAAGAGTGAATAAAAATAGCTGACAGACAAGCTTACCTGTGTGGATGATGTGTTGTTGTTGATGATAAAAGTTGAAGGACTGCTGGATGCTGGTTGCTGGTTTTGTGAACTCGAAACCAGATCTAGAGATGGGTATGAAAGAAGAAAGGTTTGGTAGGCTGAGGAAGGTCCGGAAGTTTTAAATAGCTGGGAAGCTTGCCGAGGTAGCCTGCTCTCGAGGCGGGCACCATGGATAGCTCTCGCCTTGTGAAAGAAAGTTCTCTGTCATTGGTGAAATTGCTCTCGTCTTGCTTGAATCTGAACGAGGCGAGACCAACACAGCAACAGAGACAACGGGATGGGATGGCATCCTGACTGCTGAAGCCTGAGGTTTCTTGAGCTAGTTTGGAGCCAGAATAGGCGAGGCAAGAGCGGTCAATGCGAGAAGCTGGGTCTGAACTGGAAGCAGCTGAAGAAACGAAAGGAATCGGCTTTCAGATGTCCTCGCAGTCGAGACAATGTCTTCAAGGAAACAACTTGAATGTTCTCGGAAAGGTGAAAAATTTCGGCGCCAATTTGAGGCAGGAGGTTTTCAGTGAACAGGAAACACGGGCTCATCAATGATTTGAAGCATATTGAAAATCGGAAATAGCGGAATGCCACATTTGTGATGCTCAGAAGTTGTATTGGCTTTCAGACTGACGTATGAAGTTCCTTTTGCAAGCCTCAGTCCATATCTATTTTCCTCTGGTCTCAACCCATAGCAGCCATGTGGTCACGAAGTAACCTCAGTTCTCATCGTCACCCTCCATCTTGACGGCGCCCTTGTTGTCCAGGCCGTCCGCGGCGTCGTCGTCGTCCTCGGTCTTGACCGCCGCCTTGCCCTTGCCCTTACGGCCCTTGGTGCCGACGCGGCCGCCAGTCTTGGCAACCTTGGCGGGAGACTCCTCCTCAGCAGTGGAGTTTCCCTTCCTCTTCTTGACAGGGCTGCCAACAATCGAGTTGAGCTCGTACTTCTTGCGAATCTGACCGTACCGGGTCTGCCCAACGTTATTAGCACATGACCATTGGAGAACGCAATTGTAAAGGAACTAACCTGAGCGACACTAGCGCCTTTGAAACCAGCGGTGGCAGCGAAGGCCTCCCAATCGATATTGGGCTTCTCAGTCATGTGGCGGAATATGTTGATCATGAAGTTGGTGTCTCCAGGAGTTGGCTCCTTGGCGGAGGCAGCAGCGGGAGTGGACTTATCGGCCATGGTGATGGATTCTCTTGTTTTTTCGAACCCCGGTCAGTGTATGAAAATATGGAAGGATGGGCAAATGGCGTATGTACCTGGTTTTTGTTGAGTTTTGTATGTGTATTGTTGCAGGAATGCTTGCTATGATTTTATGTCAGAGTCGAAACATTTTAGGTCATGTGTCAAGACACTACTCACATAAGTATTTTGCTCTGGTTCGTTGTGTAAGGCAGAGGGAGCTGGATATTTTGGACGGGATGGTGGTGGAGAAAAGAGAGAGCAGTTGGCTTTGGGTGGAGGAACAGAATTAAATAGGCAGCAGATTCGAGATTGTGTGAGACCGAAGAGACGAGAGGCAGGCGCGACAACCCAGGCAACCAGAAACCAGATTAAGAAGGCCCAATCTTTGGAAGAGAACCGCTATTTTCCCCGTGACCTCGCCACCGTCGTCTTCGTCGTTGTCGTCCACCGTCGTCGCCCGCCGTCATTATGATTGTAGCTACTGTCGTCGTTTGTACTATCATCGTCGTCTCTGTATACCGTGGTTTACTGTCGTCCTTCATTTAATCAAATCGGTTTGCAACATACGAAGAGATGAAATCGCGAGAGAAGCACTTGGATCTCCAGGAGTTATCTGAGAAATTAGCACATTTTCAAAATAGGAAGTATCGACCTCGGGCGTTTTCCATACCTCAAAGGGAATAAATGGAAGATGGGTTGTCTCGAATCTTCTTTTGAGGGGGTGGGATGCCTCGGGGCGCATGAGCAGCCAGACTGTGAACAACGGGGGCAGTGGAGCGTGTAAGTCAATGGCTGAAGCAGCGGGCCTCGCCTTGTGAGCTGTCACGCAATCGGCACAGTCCATGATTGGGGGGAAAAAGGATATGAACGTATGAATCGTCGTGTTTCTTGAAAGGTTTTAAAGCGCCCTACTCTGGGGCATACATTCTAATCAAACCAGACGCCTTCCAGGGTTGCGTAACATCATTAGTACAACTGGGCAATCCAAAGGGGGAGAGCGGAGTGACCAGCACGAGATAACAGAAGAAAACAAATGACGGCAGTCTTTTCCAACCTTTTCCAACCTGAAGCCGACATGTATAGATATCCCACCTGCCCGCGCCTGATTAAAGTCTATTAGGAGTGGAACTGGGCATCCCAGTGCTCGTTCTTGATGTTCATGTGTTCGGGCATCAGGTTTGCCAACGTTGGTGACCCGTGCAGATCGGTGGTATGCCCCTGACCGTGCTGATGATCACACATGGCACCCATACCGAAACCTTCAATATCGTATGCGGCGTCGAACGCCGAGTAGATGGGACTTGACCCCCAAGAGTTGTGCTCGTGCTCGTGGTGATGCTGGTCTTGGTCGTGGGCGCAAGACATAATCGACGGAATGTCGAACGTAGGGTGGGCTCCCATAATGTTAGCAGAGGGGCTGAACTGCAGATTTTGCGGTGCTGAAAACATGTCGTCGCTGCAGGGTGTGAGAAGTCGAGGTTGGAAAGTCGGCTGACACTCAGGAGCAGTAGGTGATGCCATAGATGCTGGTGTGAACTGCTGTCGGTAGGGAGGTTGGTTGTGCTCCTGCTTGACCTTGACAGGCGACCTCCCGCGGGCTTCTGACTCTGCTGTCCCGGGTTCTGGCTTCACTCGGTCCTTGTCGTCGTCCTCTTCCTTTTTCGGCTTCGGCTCCTTCTTCGACTTGGTAACTCGGTTCTTGTTCACGGCGGCGCGGTTACGCTTCTGAGGCTCTAGGCCTAGCATCGCGGAACGGAAGCGGGAGTATCTCATGCGAGCAGCATGGCCGTTGGTGATGGGCTGTGCCAGTATCGGATCATGGGCGACGGCATTCCAGTCAATCTGAATGGGTGATGAGCCAAAGACTGATGATGATATGGTATGAGTGTAGTAGCACTTACATCCTTCAAGTTCTTCTGTTTCAATATGGCAAAGAGAAACCTCGTCATCTGGTTGTCTGTGTTGGAGGACATGGTGGAAGAAGTATTGATGGCTTGCCGCCCCTATCTGATCATGCCACAGAAGGGTGAGGTCGAGTTTGGGTGCAGTGAGCTGGAGGAAGAGGGCCAATTTGAAGTGCACAGCAATGATTGCCGAGGCTTTCGGGAGACTCAGTCAACCAGCACACGACAGGCAAGTGTGGAATTGGGTTGAAGGAAATGAGTCACTGTGAAGATCGGTGAGGCGATACCGAAGAGATATATGGCACCCAAGTCAGCAGGTTGCGTTTTGTAAATGGTGCAACCACTGGGGGCGAGATCAGTCACTCGCTGGTGTGGGTGGTCAAGGAAGATGAGGCGGACAAAAGAGGCAGACAAGGAGGCATTCGACAACTGTCAGCCAAACAACCCCGGGGGCATCAACGGTAGTTATAGGTGCTTTGGAGGGTGTGGCCTTGGGACTATGGGGCTAAAGGGGATGGATGGATATGCATGTCGGCTTGATGCTGCGCTGGGGACCGAAGACGATGGATGGAGCCAGCGGCGATGGATAGCGGAGCTGTACAGAGAGTAGTTGGAATTTTAGCAGTACAGTATGAGGAAAAAGAAAGACGAGAGCATGCTTTCAGGGAAGACGCCGCGCGCGCTTGGGCCGACATTTTATTGAGCTGCGAGTGGCAAACCCGCCTTGAGACACAAGGAAATCAAAATAGTCCCTTGTTGCCTGGAGTTACGGCAGGCTTTGACAGCGAGCATCTTTTTTTTTTCTGGGGTGTGACGTTTGTGGAGGGGGGTGGTGTGGTGCAGGCTCAGATGCAAGAGCATGGCACCCATGGGTGGTGAGGTTTGATGGGCGATGCAGTGGGTGGATGAGAGGACGATGTAGTGGAGGGGTGGGAGGGGAGCTGGATGGATGGTGGTGGTGGAAGTGGTGAAAGTGGTGTCGCGGGGGCCGTGTAATCGCGTAAAGTGGTTTTCCCTCGCCATTCCTCTTTCGCCGCAGCCACCCCTGCACGCAGCCGACGATGGAGCACACTTGACTTTCCCCGACGAATGAAGGTTTGAGCGAAGGGCCAGGAATTGCGAGGCATCCGACTAGCGCACCCACTGACATGCAAGTCCTATCGGCCATTTGCACTCGCAGGCAGAATTGACTCGTCAATTGAGCTGGGCAGCTCTGGCGATGCTGGGGTCACTCTGGGCCGGTCAGAAAAGGCCGTGATGCAAGATCCAGGAACGCCCGCGGACCACTTGGAAACGCAACAGGGATCTAAATGGGATGAGACACACGAGTGGTAAGGGTGTGTGACTCATACTTTGAGTAAGGTAAGAGGGATACATTAGCTGAGAAATGGAGGGGGTTGGGCCCATTGGCTGCGTCCATGTTGCAGCTTCAATTTGGCACTATTCATTGGCGGCCCTCCCGCATCGAGTCGTCAAACAGAAAAAAACCTGGACCGCACCATGTGTGGTCGACGAACGCTTGTTACGACGCATGATGCCTGCCGATGCCTGGTTCTCGGCATGTTAGGTTTGGTTGTCGCACCTGGGTGTTGTGCTAGGAACCGACTGGCTAGATTGTTGAGGCTTGCGTTGACGGACTGATGCGATGCAAGATACGGCGAATATTTGCAAACAAAGTTCGAGCCTCGAGGGGCGACTCAGAGCCCCCTAGATTCGCTCGTCGATCAGTCACTTGCTCCCAATTTCGGGCTCGTGTTTGATCGGGTTGGATGTCGGGTACTGGCGGTGGGAAGAAGCATTGGAAGAGGGGTCAATCGAGATACTAGTAGAGCTTGACAATTGACGACTGAATGGACCATTTGGCGAGTAAAAGCAAGTTTGAGACCGCGAGAAATTGTGTAAAAATCGATTGATGCACATTGAACCCGTTTAAATGGCGTATCAGGTCTCTTCGGGCATCCTCGTTGCCATGGCGAGGCGCGATGAAGTTGGAGGGCATGGGATGAAGTGGTCTGGCGACGCGTTTCCGTGAACCTTGAGCGACGCACTGTGGCACTGCACTGTAAGCCAATGTCGCGAGATTTCACGCTACCACGTGATGTGGAGCGATACGTAGCCGTTGCTGCCTGAGAGTTGCCTGGCGTGTCGACAGGGTGGTGGTCGGCTGCAGCACCGCCAGTACGACTTTGGAAGCTGTTTGAGGTCCAAGTTCCCCACGCCGAGCCCAGACGCCGGGAGCTGCAGCACCAGAGTTAAAGCGGCGGTGGTGGACGCGGATGAGCTGTCCTTGGCTGGCGCAAGCGCCCCTTTTCAGTCGCTATTGCAAGCTTCTGATGAAGCTTTCCAATGCTCAAGAAGGTGATCATCGTTGCACCTAGCAAACGGCGCGCGTCGCCGGCACTCTTCGCACAAGTAGCTTCGCCGCTCTACCGCTCAGCTTCGGCGGGTACGGCTTCAAGCGCGGACAAGACAGATCGCCATGGATGCATCCCGAGGTCGATCTCCCTCGAGACCGCGAGGACGCCCAAGTAGCCACGCCATTATCCCGCATGTCTCAGCCAGAGACCTGTCAGAATTATCATGACAGAAAGCTCACTGTCATATATCAAGTTGTCTTGGACGGTGGTGCCTCGAAAGGGGCGGCAGGCGGCGTCCAGTCTTCCTGTCTCAAACGGCGTGGACCTGTGCATGGCCCGACGCACAGGGAGCTCGTTGAGAGAGAAAGAGAGGCACAAGGGCAGGAAACAGACATCAAGTCTTGTTGCACTTATGAACCCCCATTGATGTGTCTGGAGGCAGCCTCCGCCAAATTTTCCATGATTTTGCAGGTTTCTCCAAGTCTGCTTGCCTGCCTAAATGTCAGTAGGCGCGGGCTGGGAAGGGCATTTTAGACGCTCTACCACGGCCATCAGGATTCCCCTCTCGCGGGTCCGTCCTGATGGTCCGGGTTAGAAGGCTAAACCTCGGCTATGCACGGATCATCGACTCCTCTCGCTCTCTATCATCGGTGTCTCTTGCCCGTTGTGTCCTGATGCTTCTCGCACCTCGAGGCTCGGCTGATCATCCAAAGAAAGCTCATAAATGCAATAAATGACCCCTTTTCGAACCGCCGACTTCTTTTTCTAGCATCTAGAGCCCTTGTAGCGTTGAAACAGACGAGATGCAGCTGAGGTTCCCTTCGGTCAATTGTTAAGCCGAGACCACGTGACCTACCCGTTTTGGCGTGGCTGGCACGGGCGCCCCAACATCTGCCCCAGTTTCAATCTCAGCTCCGTCGCTCTGTCGCCGCTCACTACCAATTTTCTCATTTGATCGAGTAGAGCTGTTAAGACTACTAGCACCTTGGTCTCCATCCATCAGTATAAGTCGCGAATATCATCGTCGCGTATCGCACATAGCCTTCTTTCAATCGCCATGAATAAGAATTGGAATGACAGGGCGGACAAGGACCTCTTCTTCACCATTTTGTCTGTGAAGAATATCGGCGTCATCTCCGGCTCGGAATGGACAACCATCGGCAACCACATGCGTACCTTGGGCTACGGCTTCACCAATGAAGGGTGTCGGTAAGTCAAAGTTTCCTTTGCATCTCAATTCTTTCCTGCCTCGGCCAACTGGTGGCTTTCTTTTGTCCTTCGGCTTTTCTCTGATCGTCGCGCAACGTTATTTCCCTCGGCTTGCCTCCAGAGGGATTTATCGTGCTCGAGGCGACGGAAATGCGCCTTCCCTGTCTACCGAGGTCTCTCTCATGCAGTGTATGAGGATGTGATTGACAACCCAACGCACAGCGGTGTATTACATACAACGATGGTCGCTATGCCCTTAATTTTGTCCTTCTCTCTTCTCAACAACAATCGACATGCTTGCTGCCTACGTTGACCACTACTGACGGGTCTTAGCCAACATTTCCAAGGACTCCGCCGCGCTCAACACAAGGCCGAGTCCAACGGAGGAAGCTCGGACAACCCAAGGAAAGTTGATCCAACGATGAACCCCATAACTCGGCGTCCCGGCCCGGGTCGGGGAAGACCCAAGAAGCAACCTCAACCACCTGCACCGATGCCCATTCCCCCACTGCCGGGCCAGGTTGTTCAGCCTGGCCAAGTGCCTCAGCCTGGCCAACCTCAACCGGATCAAGTTACGCAGGCCGACCAACCGCTGCCACCACCTACTGCACTATCTGATGGCCTTCAATCTCTGCCTGAATCGATAGATCTACCCCTCAAAGACGACACCCTGGACATGTCTCTCAAGGACGACGACGACAATGAGGAGACCGAGGAACACGATGCTAAGCGTATCAAGCTCGACGACCCACCCCAGGACCAAACTCTCGATGATGAAGCCGTATTAGCTCTCGCCGCTCACAGCAACAATTCTTCTGTGGATGCCTACGCCTCTGAGTATCCTACGGCTGGCTTAACCGGGTCAGACCCGCATCCTTACAGCTTCCCCGGCGAAACTTAGGAAGCCTGTCCTTGCGATGCTTGTCGAGGGAAAGTCACCGACACTGTTCTGGACAACACTCCTTCTGGGAAGAGTTGATGCTATTCCTAGGCTGAACTTTCCCGGATCTGTCGAACAAAGTCATGGCGTTATGCATGGGAGCGAGCGCGGCATCAGGAGCGAGGGTTAATTGAACATGATGGGCGCTTTTGGAGTTGATTGGGTGCTGCTTTCGGTGTACTTACTGATTTTATGCGTCTTGATGCCACGAGAGTTGTGGTTTCTGCTAGTGGCGAGGATTATTCAGGTACAGAGCTGCCACAGGGTATGCTAGTTGATAATTCCGAAAGTATTGATTTTCCTTGCAAATCCCCGCGCAAAGTTTCTGATGTATAGTCCAAGTTATTGTATACCGGTGGCCAACGGTTCTATGAGGTACTGGTGTGGAGTACCACTTCCTGTCGAGTGCTATTGACCCGCAAGGACTTTTCTTTTTTTCTTCCATCGCTGCAAGTGGTCTCTCAGCATATGGCTATCTAAAACAGCTAAGACTTTCGTCTTGAGATGGATTTGATGAGGAGCCTAGAAGTGAGACGAGAGTGCTGCTCAGAGGCAGATGGAACCGAAGACAGAGAATAAGGCATCAGAAACAACAGCAAAGAACAAGAGATATGCGTCTGTGGTGATGCAGAGAAACTTGGACGATCTCAACCTCGATCTTCACCTTTGTGGCAGCTTGGTTTCCTATGTCTCCGTGTAGGTAGGTGAATGGTTTGGTTCAGCCAAGCACCACCGCTTGTCAAAGCCAACCACTGAGACCCGCGTCAAGCTGTCATTCTTCTAGAAGGAGGCTCATTTCTTCCCTCCCATTCCACCCCTTCCTGCTACATCTGACCCAAGGGCACCAACCTTTTTCTTCCCACCTAGCTACCACACCACAGCCTTCACTTCTCCATCAACCATCTACAGCACCACTTCTAGCTCACTCTCGCTTTCCGCGTCCCGTACCGCAACCATCACAACAAGCAATCGCCACGCAAACCGACAACATGTCTGAGAAGGGCGGCCGCTGGAACAACGTGGAGTTCATTACGAGCCTCATGATGTCTTTCTACAACGAGTTGAAGGGAGACGGCCTCTCCAAGGAGAAGAAGGACGCCATCGAGGTTCGTCTCCGTGGACAGGGCTTCGAGGATGTCACCTGGAACGGCATTCGGTAGGTGCCTTTTCTTACTATTATTCCTTCTACAATGTTTTTCGATGAGACCGCCTTTTTTTTTCTGTGATAGGGAGGCTGCTTTTCCTGTTTGTTTTTTCTACCTCACTGTCGTCCTCGTCGCTCGTCCGCCGTCGTCTCTTTCCGGCCTGCAATCTTGTTCTGGTAGCTTCTGGTCTAGTGCCCCAAGCTCTTTCCTTATCCCACTGTTCGACTTTGCCCTATTTTACGAGCGTTCGTCTTCTTCCCTCACAACTTTCTCGCGTTGTCCTCTCTTCTCTCTCCCACGTACCTCTCGCATCAACCATAATCGTCTCAACTTGCCTCTATCACAACACCCCAAACTACATCAACGTACTCAAAAACGAAGTCACAATGGCCGACAAGTCTGGCAAATGGAACAACCCAGTCCTCCTCGAGTCTTTGGTGATGGCTTTCCACGGCCTTGCCAAGTCAGCAGACGGTCTCACAAAGGAGTCCAAGGACGCGGTCGTCGCCAAAGCCCACCTCTGGGGCTTCACCGACATAACTTGGGAAGGCATTAGGTATATACGCTCCTGCTCCTGCCTTGCTCTTTGTTTTGCTCTTATTTATTCCCTACTGTTCTTCCCCGGGTCCTCTTGACGCGTCATCTCCTCCAACTTTCCATTCTCTCGTCTCCGTCTCTTGTTGATCTCTCCAACTCAACACCTTGCTCGTCTTCATCTTCCGTCATCACAAGGTTCATTCAACCCGTCACGATGTCTCGCAACGTTATGCGATGGACCCCAGAGGTCGATCAGCAGATCCTCATCGCGCTCATCAAGGCCATCAACCCGACCGCGGAGCAATACGATACTGTACTGCAGAACCTTCAGCCTTGCGGCTACAATTTCACAGTCTCGGCCTTAAAGTGAGACCCCTCTTGCCTAATTTCCATCAGTTCTTTCCCTTCTTTCTTCCAGTCTGCGCTTTTCCTAAAACACTATCACACTTCCAATTTTTCTACCTCCCCCACTCAACAACCTCTCCTGTTCAACAATCTTCCATCTCCGTCGTCTATCTCCATCTTCCATCTCCATCGTCCATCTCCATCGTCCATCTCCATCGTCCATCTCCATCGTCCATCTCCATCGTCCATCTCCATCGTCCATCTCTATCTACACTATCAACTGTTACTCCTCCACACCAGCTCATCACCATGTCTCGTCACTACCAGAAGTGGACGCCCGAGATTGACCAGCAAATTCTTGCTGCCATGGTCAAGGTGATGATTCCGACCGCCGAGCAATACAATGCTATCATGCAGGAACTCGAGCCTTGCGGATATGGCTTCACTGCCATTACCATGAAGTGAGGATCTCCTTCCCATTTGTCGAGGTTCCTGCCTGCCTATTGCAACTGATCGCTCCTTTCTGCCTCACCCTTCCCTCCGCTGGTTTCTATTTATACTCTTCTCTTCCTCTCCTTCACCTCTACTCCACCTCTCCTCTTCCTCTTCCAAACAAAACTCCATCGCATTTTCACCTTTTCACAACATCACCTCACTTCACAAAAATATTTCACTTCACACAATACATTCTCATCCGCCAACCCAACTAAACACATCATGGCACCTGCTACCATCTGGGATGATAAGGCTCACGCTGATCTTCTGATCGCTCTCCTGCCAGTGGTGAAGCCGACCAAGGACCAGTGGGACGAGGTCTTGGCCAACGTTAGAGCCAAGGGCTACAACTACACCGCTGGAGCTGTCATGTACTTACCTGCTGCTTCTTCTCGACAGATATCAGACCCGTGCTAACCTCCGTTCACAGGCAGCATCTGCAGAAGCTTCAGAAGAAGGAGGCCACCGTCGCTGCCGACAACGGTGAGGGCAACGGCGCCTCTGCCGCCTCCACCCCCAAGGCCAAGAAGACCGCTACTCCTCGCAAGCGCAAGACCCCCTCCAAGAAGACCAAGGCCGAGGAGGACGATGACGAGGAGGAGGAGAAGCCGGCCAAGAAGCCCAAGGCTCCTCCCCGCCCCGAGTAAGTTGCAACTTCCCATCATTCACGCCTGCCACTTCCGACCTATCGTGCTGATAACGTCTTGTAAACAGCTTCAAGGAGGTTAACGAGGCCGAGGCCGCTGAGGAGCTCGCCGACTGGCAGTCCGTCAAGGCTGAGATCTAAGCCGACAGCATGATTCACATCGACCGACTGGGACAGGATATTCGGGGAAGGAGAGACAGGGAACTGAATATACTGGCCATTGGGGGATAGTGGAACTTCTGGATGACTTGGAGGTAATCTTTGGTTGCTCGCTTGGACTGAAGACTTGGCTGCGAAATTGCATACGGACTCGAAATGGTCTTAGAGTCTACAATCACATCGGAAATGAGAAACATGGATGCTTTCTCCTACCCTTCTATGAGGCACACTCGCTGCTGATATTTGTCTAATCTGATGACGAGACGACTTTTCTTAGATCTCAGCTATCCGAGCGGATACGCCTTGCTAAGTGGGGGGACCTTTCCAGTACTCCTTTTGTTATTATCGCGTCTACCATTCATATCACTCGCCCTCATACATCATCCGTGTGGTCTACCTGCCAGATTACAGATTTGTTTCCATCAGTAAGTCCTTTGACATTGCATCAGTAAGTCCTTTGGCATTGCTGCTTTTCACTGCCTTGTTGCTAATATCTTTCAGGCATGACAGACAATGTACCTGTGCGTGAGCCCCCGAGTGTCCGCCCACACTGCATCCCTCACCGCGCCCCTTTTCCTCACTCATCACCGGGACAATATGTGCTCGACGACTCATTAGTCTCCGCTCTTCCTCACAAATTGTTTAAGGCGAGTTCAGTCCTAGCCCTTTGCTTCCTTCCCTCTTTTTCAGTTGACTCGGACTCGGCTCGAGGCTATTTATTTCTGCCCTCGTCGGCGGCTCTCGAAACTTTCTCTTCTTCCTCCACACAACAACAACCTCGCGACAGCCGCTCAACCTGGGCCAACCTTGCTTCAAACAACACAACACAAACCACAGATCAGCATTCAGTAGGTAAGCCTGTCCCTGGAATATTTCCTGATCACTAACTTATCTATTAGCACTGCTCATCATGGCTCCCAAGGCTTGGACCGCTGAGGCCGATCTCGACGCCATCTTTGCGACCGTTTTCCAGAACGTCCCCAACGCCCCCATGGGCGGCATCAACTGGGAGCGTGCCCACCAGATCATGACCGGACTGGGCTACAAGTTCAGCAAGGACGCCATTAGGTAAGTTTTATTCTCATTCCTGGTTTCGTTGTCTCCCTCGTTTCCGTCACTCCTCGTCTCTCCTCCTCGTCGCTGCTCCTCGTCTCTCGTTCTCCTCATCCCTCTTTCTCGTCCCTCTTCCTCGTCCCTCTTCCTCGTCCCTCTTCCTCGTCCCTCTTCCTCGTCCCTCTTCCTCGTCCCTCTTCCTCGTCCCTCTTCCTCGTCCTTCTTCCTCGTCCCTCTTCGTTGTCGTCTCCGTCGTCGTCTCCATCGCCGTCTCCATCGTCGTCTCCGTCGTCCCCCTTCTTTGTCCACCGTCTTGAAACCCCTACTAATGCTTCTTGATCAGCCAGCGTTGGTCCAAGGTCATCAACAAGAATGCCAAGCAGCGTGTCAACCAGGGCATAAGAAACGTCGCCAACGGCAACGTCGCTCCTGCCACCCCGACCTCCGCCCGCGGCAAGCGCTCTCGCCCTGCCCCTTCCTCCGGCGCTCGCGCCAACCAGGCCACTGCCCAGATGGCTCGCGCTGCCCGTGCTGCCGACGATGGCGGCGACGACTCCGAGGAGGACCTCGATGTGAAGCGCCCTGCCAAGCGCCAGGTCCCCGTCGGCGGTCTCGCTGCCGGCCTCAACGGCCAGAAGATCGATCTCACCAACGACAACAACCACGATGACGAGGTCCAGTTCGTCCAGAACGTCGACCAGACCCCCGTCAAGACCGAGATCAAGGACGGCGAGGACAAGAAGACGATCATGTCCGCTCTCCTTCGCGATGTTCGTGCGCATGACATTCGCGAGCGCAGGCAAGTACCCCTCACCACTCGCGCCTTCCCGTGATCGGATATAATCTAATATGAAATAGCTCCACTCTCGCTCCTTCCGTCGCCCATACTTTCGTCAAGGTCAAGAAGCAGGAGGACCCCTCCGACTCCGACGCTCAGGGCTATCTCGATGGCGAGGTCTAGGTCACCATGGAAGCTGACATCGCCACCACCAAGACCCGCTGCTCTGAGGACCTCCTTGAGGGCCAGGAGGTCGAGATGGAGGGTATGTAAGCTGCTCTTTGCACAGCAACTTACACGACTCTACATTCGACATTCGAATTCCTTAGCATGGCGTTGAAATGGTTTTGGCAAGCTTGCTAGCATTGGTTTGGCACTTTTCTCGTTCTTCTGGGTTTCCGCGTTTTCTTTCTCGACCATTTCAGGACTGCGTGGTTGGTTTCCGTCTTTTCCTATAGGACTGGCACTCTTCTTGGTCTCGGTTGGTTGCGGTTGCGAGCTCAGGATTGACAACGGGAGAGCATCAGGGTGTTGACAAACGGGTGGCAAAAGCTTCTTTTCGCTTTGGGATTTCTGTGAACAGGACAGGACGCTTTCTGAACCGCGTATAGCTCTGGGCTTGCTATTTCTGCTTGCTTTCTCTAGATAGAGCCGAAGATACGCATTGACATTTCATGATCTGGTTGATGCCATGATGTAACGAGAACCAGATCACTAGCAATAAGGCAACGCCCTAACCACGATGACAACGCACCACCGCCCTACTCGAAATCCGATTCATTCTTCTCGTGGACCCTGGTCCGTAGTTGACAGTCCTTCGTGATGCCTTTGTAATTACAACGATGCGCCCTGAATGACACCTGACCCTATCCCCGAACGCCGATCCGCCCAAATCATGAGAATCCAGGCCAAAGACTCATTTTAAAACCATCCTTCTAAGGCTTGCGGCCATCCAATCTCTGACCCTCGTTGGGCCCCTTCTTCTCGGGCGCCTTTGGCTTGTCCTCACCCTCGCCCTTGCGCTTGCCCCTGAGAGTTTGGCCTGAGCCCGCAAAGTGAGGGCGGTTGGCATCCTCCTTCTCGCGCTCCTTGTCGGCGTCAGTCTTCACAGGCTTGATCTCGTAGCCAAAGAAGAGCTTGTTAGGAGGCAGGCGCAAAGGCATCGGGCCATTCGTCCGACGGGGAAGGGGGGGAACGGCTGGGGCGTTGGCGGAGGCACCGGCAACAGGGGTGGCGGGCTTCGGTGTCGACGCCTTACTACCCTTCTTGTTGAGCTTCTGGCCCTCACCGTAGAAGTTGGTATTGGTCGTCGTCGCGGAGGGCGCGATGGCGTTGTAGTTGATGGACTGAGCCATGCTGCCCTGGCTGTGAAGAAGGCCGCCGGCCGGGAGGCCGCCTCCACGGACGCTGCGAGGGGTGCTTGTGCCGCTGCCGCGCTGCTGCTTCTCGGGCTCAACATAGCCGACGGGCGGGGCGAAGTCAACCTCGACATCAGTTTCGATCATGCAAACACCCATCTTATCTGTCTCGGGCTTGACCTCTAGAACGGCCACGTGATAGATCTCGTCGTTGTACTCAAAGTTGAAAATGTCACCCTTGGTGAGCGTGGCGAAGTTCCTAAACGCCTTCTCCAGCACGGCCTTGGGATCGCTGATGTCGAGGAAGTTGGTGGACTGCGGCTGAAGCTTGACCAGTCGTGCGAGCTCCAGAGAGGTTGTCTTGACCTGGATCATATCGCCGACATCGAGCTGGAGGGTCTCCATCATCTGCATCTCACGTTAGCAACCCTGCCGTCTGTGCGAAGCGAACTCCACGAACCCATTGAGGGAGGTAAGCCCTGCCCTCCTCCGCGACGAACTCCAGCACACCAGAGTGGGAGTGCTTTCCCTTCTCGCCATTTATAATCTCCATGAGCAGCGGCCACTGCACGTGGAGCTTCGAGACCTTGTCGAGCGCAGAGGGAGGCAGGAAGATCTTGGAACCATAGTTGAGTTCGGGGCGTTCGGCGCCCGGGGCCATGACCATGGGGTAGCATCGGTAGTATTCGTCGAAGCGCTGGACAACAGGGCGGCGCCCGCCGCGGGCGAAGTTGTACATGTCGGCTTCGCTGGGGTCGAAGCGATACTGGGAGCTCGAGGTTAGCTTGGGTCTGGGAGTGGTGAGCAGGACACCAGGGTAACTCACCATCTTTGGCGGTCGGTCGGTCGAAAGATGTAAGGTCTGATTGATAGGGCGGAGGAAAGCGGAAGTTCCGAGAGGCCGAGAGGTGAAGTAGGCAAAGGAAGCTTGCCCTAGCAGTAGTGATTTAGTAGGCAGAGGAGGTAGCTCTGGCTT